AATCTCTTTCTATCATTTTGTTGAAATATTTGCTTCATTAAATTTAAATTATTTCTAAACACTTTAAAATTTATCTGCTCACGCAATTAGATGTTGCTTTGTTGAAATCGACTACTGTTAAGAAGCCCACTATTTATCTAGTTTTTTTTAATTCACTGATATATTTAATTATGTCATTTCTTACATAGCAAATTTCTCTTCATTCTTGAAGTTATTTTTACTTCACCTATTAATAAAATCATTCTTAAATGCTGTCATACTGAAAAAATAAAGGCAATTTTTATACTTTTGTCATAAATTATCAATAAAAATTTTTCCTTGTCAATTATTAGAAGTGATTAAGCCACATTCTGTCAGTTTCCGTAAATTCGATTCGATTTCAATTACTCATAGCAGCTAATAATCAATAATATTCTACTTTATACATTTAATCATATTACTTGTAGCCATGGACATCCGCAACATCTTTATTGCGGTTGCGTTGCCAACCTTGTTTTTTAGGGATAGGGAGGGGTGGGAATAAGGAAATTGTAGGAAAGGGTATTAATTGGGATATATATATATATATAACCCAATTCCTACCCTTATATTCCTTCCTAGGTTCTTATTTATTAAAACGAAGCTAAACTCCCAACAGTTATTAGCTTATAGATATTAATATCTTTAACTTAAATCCTTATATTTTTAAACATTTACTACCTTACCTTCTGTCATGGATTGCGTACTTATTTTTAACTCTCATATAAATCTGAAATCATTGAAAGCATCTTCCGAAAACGTCTCTTCTATTTTATCTTCAAGAACAGTCGCCGTGGTTTAATATGGCTTCAATTGGCGCTATAAATAGCACTAGCATAGAAATTGTGAAGTTTTAACTTTTGTCATTCCAATTTGCTTTCACTCGAAATTAATATATGGTTTAAAATTAAATTTGTGGATGGATTTTGGTAAAGCTTAGCCTTTCCAGTGTCTGTCAAAGCTATGAGGGCTACAGCTACAATGATAGCGAAAAGAATTATTAATAGAAAAAATATAAGTCGTAGTACTCATTACTATAGCAGTATTATTAATAAAATATATGGAATCTGGAGAAGGTATATATTTTAAATATATAAAAATTTCAGTTCTATATGTATATTTAAAATATTCATATATATATTAAAAATCTATATAAATAATAGTATATCTAAAATCATTTTATTTGCGAGGCTTATAAAAGAGTTATTCTGAAAGTAAATAGTATGCATTAATATGTATATTTTATTATAATAGAATCGTCATTTCATTAAAGTTTTAAGTTAGAAACTGAATTTTACAATGCAAATCATATTATAAAATCAATGTAGTGTATTATATGAAAAGTAAATAAAAAATATTGGTTGTTTGTAAAGTAGGTTTACGATGGAAATGTTTACGTGATAACGTCTTATTGGTGCTATAAGTTTTTGGGAAGTAAGGAATTAATGAAGATAACAATTTTTTCAAATTTTCAATGACATTTATAGTTTTATTCACACTTTTGATGATAAATTTCCGGTGTAAAATGACAAGTTAAACATTCTGTTAAACATTCAACGAAAACTTAACCGCACGAGAAAATCTCCATTCGTTTGTATGCCGCTAGAGTGAGAGAGACGGAAGATCGGTCCACTCACTCGAACGCTATGATTGCCTCCGCTCGTGAGGATTCCGCGTGACAAGTTTCACGGAATGACTGGCAGCGCTCGAGATGAGACGGGAGATCGGTCTGTCTCTCTCTCGATATACCTGCGATCGCGCTCGTGAGGTTTTGGTGTGACACAAGTTTCTGAACATGTCACCCGACTAAAACGATTTCAAAGACGTTATCACGTCAAAAGTTTTCTTGGACTTTTTATATGCAAACAATAAATAATAATAGATAAAATTGTATGGACTTTTTATAAGTAATCTAAATAAAGTTGACCTTGGCTTAAAACATGTACAGCGATTTCTGTCAGAATAAACTTAAGATATAACGTTCCGACGTTTTGGTTACTTTTCAGCAACCGTGATTACGGGCAGACGAGATTTGAATGCGGGGGTATGTAGTTTCTTTTAAATAAAATACGCGTTGTAATCCAATAATATTGGGTTCATTTAAATAAATACTCGCGAAAGTCTTAGATCTCATAAAGTAATGGTAGTTATTTTAGACACGAACAATTTTTCTAGGTACAATCTAAATGAAATATACATATATTTGCAAAGTAAAAGTTAAGCGTATTGAAAGAAATTATTTTCATTTAATGAATGAAATTATAAATAATAATATTAATTATACATGATTTGTCTGTAAATGAAACTACAATTACTGTGAAGTTGAACAGAAAGAAGAAATAAGCGAACCTGTACCTTTACGAAAATAAGGATAGTTTCTATGTTAGTTTTCTCATTCCATAAATAAGCTATGAGTTCCCCAACTTCAACAGTTTTGGTTAACTAAAAGTTCATATTAAGGATAATGAAAGTAATAAAAGCCCTGGGCGAAGTTTACTCTGTTCTGCTTATGAATAACTTTTGAAATATTTGCAAACATTTTTATTCGAAGCACGTACATGAGATATTTATCTTAACTTCTGTGTAATATTTTAAATATTGATAAGCAATAAAGTCCAGTTTTAAAATTAATGCAATGAGAACAAGCAATTTTGTGGGATGCTGTAAAATTAAACCGTTTCGTGACAAATTATTGGTTTTATTGATATTTTTTTAAATATTACTTACAGTAAAACTTGAGCTAAATACTTGATCGAAGATCTCAATAAGCAAACATTTTTCACCCTGTTAACTCGTGTTCAGATACTTACTTTGTGTGTATATTACTGATTAGGTACTTCGAAGGAAATAATACTTTAAATATCAAAGTTTGTAATTATATATGAATGTTTATTGCTCTTTCACAAAAAAGTACTTAAATGTTTTTACACAATTATGTAGATTAGGCATTTAAATAAGACACTATAATTCATGATGAAATTTGTATTGTGTTTGAAATTTATTAATAATAATTAAAAGTAATTGGTCTTAAATAACATCAATTTATACCTTTTTTTATATTACAATACCCCCTTTATCATTTATATTGTGTAAAATATCAAAACAATATCGGAAGTCATTTGTCATCGTTGCAAATAAATTATCGAAAACAAGCGGAACACTGTTTTAATCAATGATACCAGTTTCTCCAAAATTATTCTCATGTGAAACTATAGCAAAAGGGAAACGGCCAGTTTAACGTGGTTTAAGACGCCTTGCATCATGAATTGGGGGTTCAAGAAAGGCGTCGAATAATGACGATGCTGGCTGCCGATACATTCACATTTGACGAACATTAAAGATATTATTAAAATTTTATTTTATAATTTTAGAATATAAATGACAATAAATATTATTAAATAAAATGTGACTTTTATTGTCTATTAACGAGGTAACATAAAAAGAATTTTTAATACCATTTGAATTACTAATTCTATATAATACAGCTTCTGAATAAAAGACGAGGTTAAAAGTTAAATAAACCAGTAGTTTTATAAGTCAATATAAATTAATTTGTTAAGAAATACTAAGAAAAGAACCGCTTTTATACTTATATGTTTAAAGTATCTCTCATCGCTCCAACGTTAGCCGCATTTGCCGTTCCACAGCTAGCAATAATGGCTGTGAATGTAGGATGGAATAAATTACTCCCACAAATTCTGTGTTGTGGTCGGTCTTTGTGGATCAGGATACGTGTGAGCTGAAAATCTAAATTGAATTTAGTTTTTTAATTTTTCGTAATGGATAACTTTATTATGGAAATTTCAATTACCGACTGTACGCCCTGCAGACGCTTAGATTTTAATTAAAGCAAAGGATTTTTTATTTCTACTAAGTCCAAAAGTGAATGTAAAAAAAAATTGAAAAAAAATAAAACAATATAATTAACAAAAGATAAGAATAAAATTATGGAGCATTTATTTAACAATATTCTTAAAACATAATTTTATCATTGCACGTAGGTCTAATAAATTACTTACTTTTTTATCTCTGTATCCGTTCATGGCATCCAATGTTGGTGTTAATAAATATTTTAACTTCGATATATTAATATCATAAAAAATTTAAAAAAATATCATAAAAATAGTATAGTATAATCACAATACACATAAGAATATATTGATAGTCAGAAAATAAATTACACAATTGTGGTTTTACTTCAAAATAGAAAAATAATTAGTTATAATGCATTTTATTAATTACGTTACAATTCGTTGTTTCTTTATTTTAAATGTAATGTGCGCAGTTAATAAAATAATTACTGTTAGCTTTTGAAAATATATTACTAATCCTTATTCTTTAAACAAAACGTTATTATACATGTAATTAAAAGAATAACGATTAATAGTAATAACTTTGTGTGCAAAAAAAATAAACAACGTAAATAGAATTTTAGCAGTCAAGCAATTAAAAAAGCCTACAGGTAGTATCAGAATCGAATTTTATTGCAAAGACCATAGTTACTATATTTCGAAACAAGTACAGTGCGAATGTTATGTCTTAATCATACATGTATTAATGTAGTTTGGTTTTATAACAGTTCAGTTTTATGTATTATTTCATTTTAATTTGCAGCAAATTACCATCCTATAGTAATGTGACTATTACTTAAGCCTCCAATTTTTATATCCTATATCTTTCTATACAACTTCAGATATTAAAAAAAAAACGATAAACGTAAGAATGCTTAATATTTATTTTTAATCGGTCAAAATAAATAAATATTTGTTAGGTTCTTTAAATAAGTCACTATTTATGCCTACATCGTTAATACTTAAATGACCTATGAGATAAATTAAAACAATTTAATGTAACTAAAATGATGAACGAAGCAGTATATGAAAGACATAAGCTATATATTTCACAAATTCCAATAATAATAAGTTATTTATATACTCTTGGTATTAAAAAATATAGATTACTTACACATAAAATAATAAACATTAGAAAGCTATGTCTGTTTTATTAGCCAACAAAGTTGTTGGTACCGTGGTTGTAATATTTTCACCAGATGGGGTATCATTAAACTGAAACATAACCAACTCATAGGTCACTATTGTTCCCGCAACCTGTAATAAAATTATTAAGTAGGAAAACTTGTTTCAATTAGTAAATGTTAATTAATGAATAATTAAAATTTCCTTACGGTAAGAAGTAAGCCACGGGTAACACTAAAAAATTCCAAGCCACTTAATGCAACTTTGTCTCCATTCACTTGATCTAAAAACCTTTGCACCTAAGGAATAGTAATTTTTGTAATTTTATTTTTGTTTTATACACTTTCATAGTAAATTTTATTTTCATAGTAAAATCCATAAACACAAACCTCAACACAGTATACAGGAGATGGTACATCATACAAAACAGGTGCTGGAGCATTTGATGCTGTATTTACTTGTGAAGCTATTAGAGATACAGCTACTGAGCGACTTATGAGATAAATGAGTGAAAAGACAAAATACGTAGCCGCTTCATAACCACCAAAAATGCTTGTACTCCTGAAATTGAAACAATATTTGTATTGACACGAATGTCCAAAGTAAATCGTTCTTCATTTAAAATTTTGTCGTAACTCAAAAATACAAACTTTTTATTAGTGTTGTTATTACATTCATTATTTCCTTTCACGCCATCTCTGTAAAAATGAAAAAAAAAACAAAAATATAATTTGAAATATTAGTTTCGTGTATAGAAACTTAATATCATCACATTTTGGCTTACTCTAAAGTATTAAATAATTGTAGACAGATAAAGAACAAATTGTTTGCAAAAGAAATAAAAGTAATGCCATTTATAACTTCATCAACTCTACGAACGAGTTGGACGGTACGTCCATAGTCTTCACGAATTGTTCTCCAAAAAACCTCAGGCAGGTACTAAAAAATAGAAATAACAGTCATATTCCCCTATGAAATACTTAAATATTTATTACTTAAAAACCACCTTACTTTTCCTTGCGCAGAAAGTAATTTATTATTAACATTTTGTAACCTGGACGTTAAATAGTAGCTCATACATATAACAAAGAGGTCGGAGAAATTCCAAATAAATGTGGATTGGAAGTGGACAAACTGAAACAAAGTTAGCTCAATATTAATTTAATCCCTTGCGTATTAGCTCTTGTTTCGTATTATGTTCCTTCCAGACCTGTGTCATTGCCCCCAAAATAAAAGAATACGGTAAGAAATTGAAAACCCATGGGTAGAAAAATTTAACGAAGCCTTCATAGCTCACATCTTCCGTGCCACATGCGGTTGCGGTTGCGATTGCAGATAAAAGAGATAGAATATGTTCCACTGCAATAATAAAATATATTCCAAATAAAAACTTTACCGAAGTGAAATCCACAAGTGCCTTTAGATCAAAGTCAGTGTAAAATAATATATTTTTTAGATAACTTAAAGTAATAATGATTTATTTGATTATTTACCTGAAGCCAAGATAATAACTATAGCACATGTAAGATTGCATTTAAACTTTAAAGCCACATCATAGTTCGGGTCCAATTGCTCGACCTTCGCAATGTGATGGACGAGGTTTGGCCACGATATGGCCACACGAAAAAACACTACCATCGTTATGCATGTAGTGGTATAGAATATCACTGGAGCTAAAATTAAAAATATTTAAATAATAACAGTAAATGTCTTTCATTCACACAACACATTGTTATCTTCTATATATATATAAAAATGGATTGCTGTTCCTTAGTCTCGCTAAAACTCGAGAACGGCTGAACCGATTTGGCTAATTTTAGTCTTGAAATACTCCTGGAAGTCCAGGGAAGGTTTAAAAGGTGAGAAAAATTGGAATAATTGCCGGGAAAACCCTAAAAACAGCCTTTTTCTATTTCCCATACAAACGTTTTTTTTGACATTAGATTTGACAACTAACTAATATGTCAATTCTGTTTGATTGAAACAGGAAAAACCTGATTATTTATGGCCAGTAAGACGGAATAGAGTTCGACTGGTCAGCTATACCTACATATATTACTCTTGACCAAACTAACGCGGACGAAGTCGCGGGCAAAAACTAGTAATATATAATTTCTACAATACTTGTAACGTTCAACGAAGCGGTCGAGTTCAAGACTTTGTGAATACACATAGTGGTTATAAAAATTTGTCCCAAAAGCGATAGGAGTAAATAAACACATTTCCATGAAGACCATTTGAATCTGAAAGAGAACAAAGCTGAGATTAAAATTAATTTATTATTAACATTAAATAACAATTCTTATTCAAGTTTAATTTTATGTTAACAACGATCGCTGAGTTCTGAATAGCATAAAAAATTTATCATTACAAAAATCCAAACCTGTTTATCACTTAAGGCATGTTACTAAATTTAATTTAATTTTAATAAATTATTCTACATTTAATAAACGAATATTTTTTCATGAAAACGTTTTTTTATGCGTATATAACAAATTACAGCAAATATTATTCATAAGTAGTTATTGTTTGTATCATCGCTTGCAATTTGAGAAACAAAAAAAAATAATAGTAGCATAATATGGACATGCACAAAATTTCATCCAAATTAGTTGGAAGCATTCGCTCGCTTTGAATTTTAATAATTTATGATATTATTTCGCTTTATTAACAGTTCATATATGTTGTATCAACCAATCAGCAATACATTATTATTATATATTATAAAACAAATTCGCCTGCAGCGCCTGCCTGTCTGTCTGATTGCTATAAATTCAAAAACTACTGCACCGAATTCCAAACAGTTTTTATCACTCGATAGAGTCATTATCGGGGAAGGTTTAAATGTATAATTTGTCGAGCATTTATATTTCCATTAGTGATATTTGTTGAAGATGTCGGGAGAAAATGAATCGTCTGGTAGCTTTAAAGGGAAACGTTGCCTAAAGCCTTTAAGATACATATAATAAAGTAATATATTATGGCATTGTGTATCTTATGTATGTCTACAGTAAAAGTCCTGTATGTCACATGACCATCTCCCAAGTATAGTCATATAGTCATATGACATATGTTATCACATACTATATAAATTTTATTTCTTTTAAAATTTGCGTTTATGGAGCTTTTATTAGACAGGTACGGAAAATAAGTTATATCTTAATCAAGCCTACATCAGTATATAAAGGAATATGTACATAACTTTTTGATTCATTTAAATCGGATTTACCATTTAGAAGTTATAAGTTTAATAATTCTCGAGTCCCCCTGCACCGCTTTTCCCTACCATTTTGTTAGATAATAAGGCTAACGACAATAGCACACAACTGATGATTGTGTTTTATTTCTTTTGTTTTCTTTGTTTATTTAATTAGATACTTAACTACTTAGTTTCCTGATCATTATTTGTATACCTTTTCATATTCCTTAATAAAGCGAAACGCCAGACTTAAACTTAAAAAATATAGTACATATTTCTTTTAAACAAAAAAAAGGTTTAAATATGACATTTTTGTTTTTCTTGATTTAGCCCAAAAGGCATGTACTCAACCACTTTTAAGTAGCATAAGTTATTATATATTATATAATATGCATTAATTCAATAAAAAATGGTACGACCAGTGCTTAGGCTATTTGTATATTTAATTAATATTTGTTTTAATTTATAATAACTTCGTTTGACTTACTTTACATTAGCTGCATTCGTACTACACACACCATTGACTGGCAAAAGTGAAAAAATCTGTCCAATTACTAATGTACTTCGTAGCGCTTCTTGAAATCTTGCTGATTTTTGCCTAGGTTTCACTTTGGTTACCCCAACTTTGTTTTCTGTTATTATTATTAAATATAATTATATTTATAAATTATGTTTAGTTAAACATTTTCTACTTACTCTTTTTTGGAAGCCAAAAAAAAGATCGGCTGTTCATATTATTATTTGTGTTGTTTTGTGGTGACACATTTATTATGGTGCAGTTTTTTCTCTCTTTAATAATCATCAGCAATTTCCAACTTACTAGTGACCTGCAAATCTCAATATTAAGCCTTTATATTACATATTTAATTTATAATGTAAATTTTACCACAGACAGTAGAAGGGTTTTGAAGTCTTTGAAGGAATACTCTAACATTATATGATACACACTTTAAATTTAATATCAACTCACCAAGGATGTCATTAATTAAATATTATTTTAAAGAAATATGAAATTATATATGTCAATAAGTATTGACCTGAATATGAAAAAGGAAATTTTTTTGCAACAAGTAATATAATAGACGTTTATATTACATTTTCAAACTTAAAATAAATTTGTTGAACAGTTGTTCGCGTGTTAAGTTAAAAATCTACTATAAGCTATCAACTTGATCAATAAATGATTTGTAAATTATTTACACGTTTTGTAAATAAATTACAGTTGTTTACTCATGTATGTAGTTGATGACATATAACTTTTTAAATATGTCATTCGATTTCTAGAGAATTTTTGTTATACTATGTCACTTATTTACAAATTAAAATATGTATACTTAAGTATTTTAATGAAGCCTTACTGTAGACCAGGTCATCTAATATCAACAAATTTTGCATATCTTTAAGTCAGCTAGAGCTTCATCAATGGGTAACATAGTGAATTATTTATATCCTTCAATAATTTGTTTAATTTAATACCTTTCAATGCGTAAAACGTATATTTGTCTTCTGTTTTAATTAAATATATATAACATTCGTCAGTGATTATGATATAAAACGGCAATATTTTTCTTAGCATACACACATAGTTTCCTAGTTTCAAGTCGTTTATAACATGTTTCTTATAATTAATTCCCGAGTCCGAATGACTCTTTGTCATTCAAGTCATGTTTATTTTTAACGTCTTAAAACTGGAATGTATGTATATAAGTATATATGTATTAAAAACATTCAGATTTCTCTTATATATTCCCGTATATTTTTGGCCAACACTTTCAAAAAATTTAGTGAACTAAGGCAATTTCAGTTTCAATTGGTAAAAAATGTTTTCACATATACACAACCTATCTGTGGGGTTTGCTGAGAAAATTATTTGTAATAAGGCAATTTTTTTACTATAACCTCCAAGAACATATTCTTCTAATAAAGCCTATTGCAATTTCTTGAGCGTTAAACAAATGTTACAACTTGCCACTTTTAGTTAAAATAGAATTTTTAGTTTAAACCGAAATATTTACAGAAAACGTAAGACCTTGACAGAATGTTTATTAAGTCAATACTCAGTTGACTCTGACATTCAATAATAACAAAATGAAAACATCATTATGTCGAATATTCATGGAATTGCTAGCAGAAGGACTTAAAGTCAAAATAGTAAGTTATATTTTAGTCGTAATTTTGTTTTGTGTTTTGCAATATATAAAGTGCATAAAATATATATATAATTTTAAATGAAGGAGGACGATCCTTTTACAGTTATATTAAATGTAAAGGAAATAGATAGTATAAGATAGTCAATATGTTTCTCTTTTCGTAAATGGACAAAAATTAAATATGCAGTACCCAAAATTTAATAATCATTGACATAAGAAGAAAATAATGTAATGTGGTAGTTGTATAATATGTTAAATTATATATTTTTTTGCCAGCACTTTCATAATTATCATAATTAACAAGAAAAAACTTGCTAACTCCTTTAGGAAATTATGTGTTTGGACTTAGTTAAAATTATATTTTTACATAAGTGAAACACTACCTTTCTCAACTATAACATGTTTCATATAGACAAAAAAAACTTTCCTTTTTTGTACAAGATATGCACAAAGGACGTGCCACTTTCCTAGCGGTCTTGAAACTTAGTGTCTTCGTTACACAATTTATGGGATTTAACCCTGTTCTCGGAGTTTTTTTTTTTTTTTTTTTTTTTTTTTTTTTTGGTGTCGGGTTGGAAAATCCTTCATGGAGCCCCGCCGCCCTCGGGGAAGGACGGAGGGGACTGTCAGACTCCTACTGACTAAAAACCAACCCGTGTGCCTCATCTACCCGTGTGCCGGAGAGGCGGGTATCGCCGAAGCATTCGTCGCTACCTCCCCGACAGGCATTGACCCGCCAGATGGTCAGGCGGGCCCCGTCACCCGACTTTGGACCTCAAACTTTGAGGCGCGCGTGGATTACACGCCTCCCCCTCGAAGCCTGTGGCTGTTATCGGACGACAGGTGCCCCGAACCTGTCGTCCACAGGCCGCGCTCTACGGTGGCCGGAAATCGGTCACCCTACGGCGCCCAGTGCGTCTGGTGCGGGAGGGGAGAAAGGAGGCAACCTCTCTTTCCCTTTCCGCTACCTCCTTTGCGCGCATCACTGCCTCGCAGAAGGTGGCGACGGCACACCACCCTGACTCGCTCCCCACCATAGCTAGTACAATTGCCGGGAGTGACAGGTTTCCTGCCACCCCTACCGCCGCAACCAAATCACGGCGCTGCTCGGCCCAAGCTGAGCATTCCGCCAATGTATGCAGCGCCGTATCATTGGGGCAGTTACCGCAGTGACGGCACTGGGACGTCTGTTCCCGACCTATGCGGCACAGGTACTTCCCGAAACAACCGTGTCCGGTAAGTACCTGCGTTAGCCGGAAGCTGAGGGCGCCGTGACTCCTGTTCAGCCACTCCTGTAGAACAGGTCTTACCGCCGCTATAACGGCGTGCCCCCCCGCCGTGGGTTGCGCTAAGCGCATGTGCCACTCCGCCATTAGGACCTGGCGGAGTTCCGCCCTCCGTGCTCTTATTAGTCGAGGCATCAGGCGTTCGCCTCTCTCGACTGCTTCCGCGCGCCACCGATAGAGCGTCGCGAGGAGTTTTGCCTCTAGGTCCCAGGGGGGGGATCCGGCTAGGAGACTCGCTGCCTCAAAGGATATCGTACGGTAACCTCTGATGACCCTAACCGCCATCGCGCGCTGTGGCCTTCGCAGTGCAGCGACATTGCGGGCTGTCAGGGCATCTACCCACACTGGCGCGGCGTATAGTGCCATCGACCTTAAGACCCCCATGTAAAGTCTCCGGCATGAGGAGTTGGGCCCTCCCACGTTGGGCAGCAAGCGCGAGAGTGCAGAGGCGGTGACCAACAACCTAGGGACGAGCCGTGTAAAGTGCGGCCCGAAGTTCCACCGACTGTCGAGGATGATTCCAAGGTACTTCATCGTCGACTCGACAGCGATGGACACCCCTCCTACTATGATGCTGGACCTCGAAGGCGGTTTCATTCTTGGCCCATGAAAGTACAGGGCTTCAGACTTGTGTAATGCCACCTCTAAGCCCAGCCGCCGTATTCTGCCCACGACGTGCGCGACACCAGCAGTTGCACGTATGGCTGCCTGACGGTACGACTTTCCACGCGCTGTAACTAGCGTGTCGTCAGCGTAGCAAATGACGTTGACACCGTGGAGAAGCACGCCGCGTAGAGCCCAGTCGTATCCTACGTTCCACAGTAGCGGCCCCAACACCGAACCCTGCGGAACGCCGCACGTCGTCTCTCGTCGACCCCATCCTTCTCGAACCGGATACACCACAGACCTTTCGGACAAATAAGCTCCGACAATACGCTGCAGGTAGCGTGGCACCGCATGGTACCGCAGTGCCTCTCGGATGGTATTCCAGGGCAGAGTGTTAAAAGCGTTGGCGATGTCGAGCGACACCGCCAAGACCACCTGTCCCCGAGCGACTGCCTCCTCCGTGAGGGCTTTTACGCGCATGATCGCATCCACAGTGGAGCGTCCCTGGCGAAAACCAAATTGGTTGTCTGCCAAATCCGGTCCTACCCTAGTCATGTGCTGGACGAGGCGACTGACAATGATTCGCTCAAAGATCTTACATACTTCATCCAGCAACACGATTGGCCTATACGCTGATGGTGTGTCTGCGGGGCGCCCCTCTTTCTTAAGTAAGACCAGTTTTCCAGTCTTCCACCGGCTTGGAAATTGGCTCTGTTCCAGACATGCTGTGAAGAGCCTCGCTAGTCGGGGCCCAAGAGCCTTAATGGCTAGAGTCCAGGCACGGCCTGAAATGCCGTCGGGTCCTGGGGCGGTGTTCCTGATGCGAGTCACCGCCACTCTCAACTCTACCTGGGTCACTTCGGGCACATCACGCTCAATTTCAAATTCCGCCTCGGAAAAATTACGAGGTGGGACCATCGCCGGTGGTGTGTGCATCGATCTCGACGGAAACAACGCAGAAACCACTTCTTCCAGAAGCTGTGGTTGGAGACTCCGGGATAAAGGGGGAGCCCATCGACGCAATTTACCTCGTACCATGAGGTAGGGGCGTCCCCAGGGCTCCCGATCCAGAGTTGCCAGCAGCGCTTCGTTGGCCTGGGTCTTTGCCTGAACAATTGCTAGCTGGAGGGCTTTTTTCGCCTCTCTATAGCGGTTGTATAGTTCCGCCTCTACCTGTTCTGCCGTCGCTGTAACGGGGCGGTGGCGTCTTCTTCTACGGAGCCTCGCGTATCTTCGTCGCACTTGTGTACAAGCGATGCGCAACTGCGCAATCGACTGTGACCACCAGTATACTTGACGTCTGGATGGTAAAGGCCGAACCCGGGGCATGCCAGCGTCACAGATGTGCGTCATGCTTTCTCGGAACCACTCCGCCTCCTCGTTGATGTTGGTTGGTCTGTCTGGAAAGTCCAGCCAGGCCTTTACGGTAGAGGCCTCGAGAAAAGCCTCCCTGTCCAGCCGTTTCCATGCCCAACGCGGACCATCACCAATGCCCGCCAGTGCCACTTGAGCCGGCCCAACCGAGGTCTGTGTGGACACGTTAAATCGAATATATCTATGATCGGACAACGTCTCTACATCCTCTAGAACATGCCAGTCCTGGATAGAGCGGGCAAGATCAGGGCTAGCGAATGTCAGATCTACTATAGATCCACCCCGCTGTCGCACGCAGGTCTGCACGGAACCCTGGTTCAGGAGAATCAGGCCCTGCTCGATCGACCACTCTTCTATTAACTCACCCCGCGCATTTGTTACTGGAGAACCCCAAGCCGTAGATTTGGCATTGAAGTCCCCCAGGACAATCACAGGACGAGGACGGCTACGACTGATTTCCGCGCCTAACTCCAGGATTATATCCTCCATATCGGCAAGAGAATAACTGGGGGCAAAGTACACACCCACAACCACAATTTTTTGCCATATTGCTGCGACGTAACCTCGCCCTCGGGTGACGGCCTCGAAAGGAAGGGTGTCGGCGTGGGTCCTCATAATCAGCGCCACCGAGCGGTTCGTGTCACACACCCAGTCATCCCTGGGTGGCACAAAATATGGTTCGGCGACAACTGCCATATCAATCGACCACTGCGCCATACTCTGAAGCAAGAGATCCTGAGCTCTGGCGCAGTGGTTTATGTTAGCTTGAAGGAAACGACGTAGGGCCATTATTGTGTGTCCATGGTCGTTGTGTCCTCCCTGGTCCTCTCCGGATGTACTGTCGCAACCGGCTGGTGAACCGGCTGCGAGGAGCTGGTTGCCTTCTTTGTCTTGTCAGTGGTTTTAGTCGGCGGATGAGCCGACTGTATCCTAACATTGCTCTTCTTGGGCCTAGCACAGTCCTTTGAACCGATCCGGTGCTCAGCGGACTTGCCAGATGCCGCACAGAGGACGCAGTGCGGCGTGGCAGTGCAAGTGCCAGCTTTGTGACCAAGCTGACCACAGCGGAAGCACATTTGACTGCGGTCTACCCCAGCGGTACACCGTGCCCCCGCATGTCCTTCTTCTAAGCAGCGGTAACACCGATAGGGCTTTGGAGCTAGGAGCGTGACTTGCGCCGAAACCCATCCAATCAGAAGCCGTTTGTCTTTTAACTTTTTGGCCGCCGCTACGGGACAGCTGACAAAAATAGTCCCGAGACCGGAGACACCCCGGTTTATCGTGCCTGCCTTGATTTGATCCGGCGGACACTCGCCCACCTTGGAGACGGCAGCAGAGACCTCTTCTTTTGTGACGGAATCATCCAGGCCCGAAATGCGCAAATCTGCGCACTTGGTTGGTCTGGACACTTTTACATCATCCGAGCCTAGAGATGCCCTGAGTCTGTCGGCGAGGGCATCTGCTTTGGGACCGCTAGAAGATCCTGATATCTCCAATAGGCGGCCTCCGGTAGCAGTCGTTTTGCATCGGAGACCTGTTATACCGAGATCACTAAGCGAGATCTCCGCTTTCGCCTTTGCCAGGATCCCAGCATATGTGAGACCCCGCTCCTCCGCCTCTGGTTTTAGGGTGAGGACTACTGCTGTAGAACGGGGGGTGCTGAGCTTCACCGTCTGGGACTTGGCGGCCTCTTGTTTCTTCTGGGCTTGCTTCTTGGCCCGCTGGCGAGCCGCTTTACTTTTTTGGGCGGCGCCCGCAACTGTCCACTCCGCCTCAGCTCTAGTGGCGGGTTCACACGCTCCAGATTCAGCAGTTTGTGCACGCGAAATAGGAGTGTCATCTGCCTTTTTGGCCAGTTTAGCCGCTTTTTTTATCTGCTTTTTGGATTTAGGCCCCGCAGTTTCTTTTTGCGAAGTAGCAGTTGGAATCGTCGATTCTTGGGCTGCTACGGTTTCCTCCACATTTGTCGTCGCTGGTCTACTGCGTTGGTCTGCAGCTACGGGGGGACGTAGAATTCTCCCCTCAAGCACTGAGAAGCGCGCGTTGAAACTTGCCATCTCCTGACGGATCAGGCGAAGTATCTCCGTCTCCTGTGACGACTGCTGCTTCGACGGCTGTGACTGCGGCTGCGGTAGCGGTACTGTGGACGGAAGGCCCACTTCCTTCCTAAGCTGCTCGCGGCGGAAGTTGATCATTTCTTCCTTGAGCTCATCGTGCTCCTTCCGGAGCTCCGCCATTTGCGCTGCGAGCTTTGCATTCTGGGCCCGCAGCAGCGCCGTCTCTTCAGTTGTGGTGCGAGTTAATAGCACCTGAGCACTTTCCAGAATTGAGGCTGTGGCCTCTTTTAGTGCTTTTTGGCTGCAACCGCTAAGGCCCTTGGAGACCCTACTCACTCTTTTTATAGCTGCAACCGCGTCGGACAATCTTTAATTAAGATCGGTGGCCGGTAAATCTTCTGCCTCGACGTCTATATTTGAGACGGCGGACGACGACTGTGACAGACGAGTGACTCTCCCTTCCATCACTCTTTTCGTCAGAGCCGCAATCTGACGCTCATCCTCCTCTAATTTCTCGGCGGCTGCTGCGGCCTTCATTGCAGCCGCAGCCTCACGCCTGGATTGGCCGATACCGACATATTTGCCGGTAGTGGCAGGCCTACCTCTTCCTCCTTTTTTGGCACCGACCTTGGGGGGCGGCATGACTGAGTCACTTAAAACCGATTCCGACCCTGAGTCTGCACAATCCCTAGGGCGTTTACGCATGCGTTTTGAATTAACGCTCGCCACGCTCATATGACTTGACGCGCTGTCGGAATCAAACAGCTCGCCCGTTCGCTCCATTCGTACCAATGGTACGTTATCATCCACTACGTCAGGTTTTGTATTTGTTTTATTTAAAGAACTATCCATTTTAGTCCCACGAGTATAAAGCAAAATAGGTCGACCCCGGGCAGAGGCTTAAATACCCGGGTAAGCCTACATACTGCTGGGGGCGGCAGGTACCAGCAGGTGGGAGCGTTAACGACCGTTTGCCCAACGGCCATTCATCCCCTCGCCACGCTCCCGAAACTTGGGATTGGGTGGTTTTTTATCTAAGAGGTGTCCTTCCTCTGGGGCCGGGCAGTTAAGCCAAGCCCCCCGACAGTGGCATTAAGACATGCCTCCGTCCGCTGTCCGGCCAACCCGACTCAGCGGACCTGTCGAAAGGTTTGCTCTTTATTTAAAAATGAGGCAAACAAAGCCAGCTCAGATGCGCCTACACCTGAGCCGGTGTGGTCACGTCCTCGCCTATCGACTATATCGATAGAGCAGGAGTGAGTCCCCCCCCCTGGTGACTGACTGCACCGGTTACCCGGTGGGCGATGGGGTCGTCACGTCCCGACGCCAACGCACGCCCTGTTCTCGGAGTGTGTGATGGTGATAGTAGTAATTTCATGTCTGGAGAGTATGTAACAGTAAATTGTATGCTTAATAGAAAGGCATATTCGTTTTGTTTCGTGTAAATATGTATTAGTATAATATGTGAAACACAACTTCGTTACCTTTTTGAGAAATCTATCTATTTTGAGTTTAGGCCGTTTATTTATCAGGACGTTGTGCTTACACTCTTGATACAATTTACTTTAGACAGTTCTTCTACATATTTTATTCTTTTAAAATATTTGAAAGATTCGGATACTTTAATACTACGGTATGTTAGAATTACTAACAAAATAATACATTTATAATGTTCAGTGATACCAGTGTCGACATCTATGATGACTTATGTGAACATATCTGTAATCTGTCACTCGTTTAATATAATCAAATTTAGTCTTTGAACCGCCATTCGTGTGTTTGTGTGTGTGTTTGGTATAGTAAGTAATTTTAATAAATAATTATCACCATACTAATGGCGATACATGTGAAGTTAATTTTAATTTCATACTTCAGGCAATTTCATAACGGGCCAACAGAGATCTTTCAAAAATTTGACTGCATCACGTAATAAGTCTACCTTTTACCTCGTAGAGGAGTCCGATCACCTTTACTTCGTCTTTTCAGAGTTAACACATGGAATACTCTGGCCACTTTCAAGGATAAGGTATCGAATTGTCACTATACTAATTAAATTTGAGTAAGCTACTTAAGTTATATAAGCTTATTAAGTGCAAACCTAAGCTTCAATAAAACTCTTTGTTCTGCTTAATCTTGGTTACAACAAGAATTTCTCCGATCTCTTTCTAAAGACTCTTGCCAATAAGTAAAAGAATGTTTTCTATTAAAGCAGACATGCAAGCTAACTTTAATACATTACGTTTATGCAGATACCAGACAATTTCCTAACAGAAGTCTAGTCCGGGAAGAAATGTTATATTGTGGAAATACCTGGACATAATTTAAAAATATAAATTATTATGATTTGCTTGTATCATATAAGCTTAAATAAGAATTCCGCCTAAAAATATGTGAATGAAACGTAAAAAGAGATAAAACATTTTGTTTTGTGGTGATTTAAAATTTTATTTGACTTTACATATTTATTTAATTTATAAAATCTATTATCTTCTTGTATATAAGATATAAAAAAATTATAGAAAATACTATTTATTCCTTTAGTCTTTATCACGTACTTTTTAGCCTATTATGAGAGGAGACTACAGTCGAGTCACAAATTTTATTTTTAAAGAAGACAAAGGTATATGACTGATCGTTTTATATATTTTGCTAGTAATATCTTTTTTCTTGCTTTGCTCCATACTTTTGCAATGTATTAATAACAAGATTTGTTATATTAAATTTTCATTTTACTTTGAACTCGAGTACTTGGTCACTGCTTTTGTTCCTTCACTGACGGCGTGCTTGGCCAACTCGCCGAGCAGCAACAATCTCACGGAGGTCTGGACCTTCCTGGACGTTATGGTGGATCTCTTGCTGTAGTGTGCGAGACGTGATGCTTCGGCGGCGATACGTTCAAATATATCGTTCATGAAAGTGTTCATGATTAACATGGCCTTACTTGATATACCGGTGTAGGGATGCACTTGTTTCAGAACCTTGTAAATGTAGATAGCGTAGCTCTCCTCTTGTGCTTCTTCTTCTTCTTGTCGGATTTGGAGATGTTCTTTTGGGCTTTGCCGGACTTTTTGGCTGCCTTACAGCTAGTTTTAGGCGGCATGTTTAATTATAATATAATTATTATATCAACGATTGACTTGTATTGTAAAAAAATCGGCTTTTTTTTGTAATGTGTATAGCTGTTAACTCTGCGGCTTTTACAGCATCACCAGAAGAGTAAAAATGTATTAGTAACAAGATTAAATAAGATACTTAAAGGTAAAAAGAGTACTCTTCTCTTTATTCTACGAAAATTTCAAATTACATCCCAATTAGTTTAATACTTTTAACATGACGTATTTAGAAACATATACAAACTTTCAAGGTGATAATTAACATATAATATGCAAATCCTTATGTTATGTGTATGTCATGATATCTAAGACTTTCGAGAGCACATTTTAAAATAAAATTGGATCATAATTTTATTCCGACGTCCTGATTACTTTGTATTAACTTTGAGCACGGGAAGGGAGAATTGTAGACTATCAAAATATATTAAGTATTTATTTTTATTTAATTTCATGTTTTGTATTCACCTATTTTATTAAAACACGTTTCTTTTTAGGGTCATAAAATAAGCATCACCATCATGCCATACTTTAGACTAAAGGTAGTTCTGAATTAAAAAAATATTTGTATTATAAAATCTTCTGTAGTTCGATCAAGCAATATAAGTCATATATTTTCCCTTGTTTTTATAACTATCACAATTACGTGTCTAACTTGCAAAGTGGATACGGGGTATCAATAATATAAAATTATTTTAAACAAGGAATGGTTTGTATAATCCAAAAAGCAATTTTGAAAAACCTGGGCTACATTACTAGCAATATTAAAGCTAGAGCTACAAAGCATAAAGTCGTACATATGATCAAAGGGGTGATTAAATTGGTAAAGTACTGAAGTAGTGGTTAAGTACTAACACTCTTCAAAAAATTCTATGATCCTTGATCTTCTCAAAGACCCTTATCTATATATTTTATGTGTTACATCGTTTATATAACAGTGTTCTAACGTTATTTATATAATGCTACCGTCACGTTTTTGCTATTATTCTTTGACTAATAAATGTTCTGCATACGCTCGTGGTCTTGGGTCTTAATATAATATACACATACCTCTGAATTTTACGCATCTTATTTGATATTATTTTGTTAGTATAATTATGTTACACGTTGCTCATTATATAAATTTCTATTTAGAAATTCAGTCATGATTGTTATTTTATTAACAACGAAATACAACGAAACCCCTAACATATTGATATTTTATACACTTTGTATTAAAATGCTGGAAACCTCCAACAGTTTTCACATACATCATTATTTAGGTCGTGATACTAGTGGAAGGTAAAAGTTTTACAGAGTGATTACGTAATTTTTTGTAGACAATACGAAGAGGATTAAATATAATGGGAAAATTGATCATTTTAACCCAAATTAATTCTAACAAAGAATCTGAACCTTATTCAAAAAAAGAACGTTTATCTCAATGGGTATTTTCTAAATTAAAATGGGTACACAATATTTTTTTTATTTGATAAATAATTCTTACATCAGTTTGAAAATTTACAACTATTCTAGTTTAAGTCTTTCATATGATCATATGATGATAATTGATTTCTTTGTAAATAGATCATATTTTTTTTAATAATATTAATTTAATATTCAGTCAAATAAATAATTTTTGAAATACCTTATTGATATATGGCTGCGAAATTAAAAATTGTAATTATTATTTATACATGACAAATACAATACTTTTACATATCAATATAATTTCCTTAAATATATTTTAATATATTTTTAGCGTCCTATCGTTCAAGAACAGGATCCTTATAGAAATCTAGACTGGACCTCACTACATAAACTCCTATGGGGGATATGACCTTCTTAAGGCACCTTTCTGGTGAGAAACCTACAAACAGATATAGACAAAAGTGAAAGAGTTCTGTAAGATCGAAGCATACTCTGTTAAGGATTCTGTTAGAACAAATTAAATAATCTAAAGCTTTCATTCAACTCAGTTATCGACTGGAATTTTCTAAACAAGGTTTTTACTAAAAGTGAATTTCGTAGGTACCCTGCTTCTCTTTATAGGTACTCATTAATCACGACGTCTTCTCTGACCACCTTCTGCATTTAGAGTAGTGAGTACTATTCTCGGCAATGAACATTGCTTTTATACAAATTATTAAAACATTTATATACTTTTAAAATTGGTTGGTTGGTTGTTTTAAATATGGCCTTCGACCGTGCAAACACGTGCACAGTGTATTATGTGAGTGGCGTGAAAATGGAGGAAACACGATGGTATATTTAAGTCTAAGTCGTAAGTGATTAACTATTAAGTTAAAAAAAAAATCACATCATATTTCACTCTTCCTTGCAGGTAAATAATCTATCAGATGTCATTCCTTATCACTGGCTGAGATCTATTCACAAACAAACAATCTCAACCACTTAGTAAAATTATTTTTCTAATAAAATTTTTGATATTTATATATGTCGTCACATACAGTAATGTAATAAAATCAAACATTTTCAAACAGCTTCATTATTCAGGAAAATCAGTTGATCAAAAATTGTTCACGTCTTTTAAAACTAGCTTTAAATATTTTCCAGGAAATAATACCTGCTTCATCACTATAAAAGAACATATTTCATAAATGACTATAAAGAGAGATAATGGATTTCATGAGAGTGTTCGTTTCACAATGTTTGTGTGCCGAATTATTGGTATTTTACCAATATCAGGACTACAGAGCAGTAACAGCGAGGATTTAAGGTATTTTCATTTATTAAATTTGTAAAAGAAGATCATTTAATCAATTAATAAGAGATTTTTTTTGTGTTTAACAATGCTATCTACGAAATACCTTATTGAAATACCTTATTGATATATGGCTGCGAAATTAAAAATTGTAATTATTATTTATACATGACAAATACAATACTTTTACATATCAATATAATTTCCTTAAATATATTTTAATATATTTTTAGCGTCCTATCGTTCAAGAACAGGATCCTTATAGAAATCTAGACTGGACCTCACTACATAAACTCCTATGGGGGATATGACCTTCTTAAGGCACCTTTCTGGTGAGAAACCTACAAACAGATATAGACAAAAGTGAAAGAGTTCTGTAAGATCGAAGCATACTCTGTTAAGGATTCTGTTAGAACAAATTAAATAATCTAAAGCTTTCATTCAACTCAGTTATCGACTGGAATTTTCTAAACAAGGTTTTTACTAAAAGTGAATTTCGTAGGTACCCTGCTTCTCTTTATAGGTACTCATTAATCACGACGTCTTCTCTGACCACCTTCTGCATTTAGAGTAGTGAGTACTATTCTCGGCAATGAACATTGCTTTTATACAAATTATTAAAACATTTATATACTTTTAAAATTGGTTGGTTGGTTGTTTTAAATATGGCCTTCGACCGTGCAAACACGTGCACAGTGTATTATGTGAGTGGCGTGAAAATGGAGGAAACACGATGGTATATTTAAGTCTAAGTCGTAAGTGATTAACTATTAAGTTAAAAAAAAAATCACATCATATTTCACTCTTCCTTGCAGGTAAATAATCTATCAGATGTCATTCCTTATCACTGGCTGAGATCTATTCACAAACAAACAATCTCAACCACTTAGTAAAATTATTTTTCTAATAAAATTTTTGATATTTATATATGTCGTCACATACAGTAATGTAATAAAATCAAACATTTTCAAACAGCTTCATTATTCAGGAAAATCAGTTGATCAAAAATTGTTCACGTCTTTTAAAACTAGCTTTAAATATTTTCCAGGAAATAATACCTGCTTCATCACTATAAAAGAACATATTTCATAAATGACTATAAAGAGAGATAATGGATTTCATGAGAGTGTTCGTTTCACAATGTTTGTGTGCCGAATTATTGGTATTTTACCAATATCAGGACTACAGAGCAGTAACAGCGAGGATTTAAGGTATTTTCATTTATTAAATTTGTAAAAGAAGATCATTTAATCAATTAATAAGAGATTTTTTTTGTGTTTAACAATGCTATCTACGAAATAACATTTTACTTAGCACCCAAACAATTTAAATTCCTAATATTTGAAAATAACATTCAACCTTTATTGTATTGCAGAATTACTTATATTTCCTTGTACACAATTTACTATTTAATAACCGTGTTGCTTCTGACTTCATTACTTCTGCTACACTTTTATGATAGCATTAAACCTTCCCAAAAATTTAAAGACTTGGGTAAGTATTTGCATATTTTAAAATGTGGAATTATATTCATATTTCTTTTGTTGGAAAAGTACCAAACACATGGAATAGTTTAAAGTAAAAAAAAGTGGTACAATAAAAAAAATATTCAGGAAGAATTATTTCAGGAGGATTACTCATTCAAATTACTGCAATGTTATTAGTTATAATATTGATTAGATTAACATTGAAATGGAAAGAAATGATGAAGCAAATAGAGCTTCATGAAAGACTCCTGCCAGTTTTACAAAAGCCACAACAAATTTTTAAAAAGATCAACCACGTTGTAATATTTTTTATAATCTTTGGTACATGTAAGTTTTTTGGTTTTAAATAGACCTATTTAGTCGCCAATCTCGACAAGATTGCAATAATTCTTAATTAAATAATTAATAAAACAGCAAGTGAACACATCTACAAAAATAACAGCGTTCCGTCACATTTATTTCAAAAATGTATGTATGTTTTTTAAATAAAAAAAAATATTGATACTTTTTTAAAGTTCAAGTAGTATTTTCTTTAATGACCATTTAATTTTGCTGTCCATAAATAGACAGTTTCATTGTAACTTTAGTAACTACTCTAATTTTTTAAGAATTACTAACAATATTACAACAATTGCGATGATTTGCAGTTGATTTTCTCGTTATCCTATTAAATAGTGGTTATTTAATCATACAATGCTCTAGTCAGAAAGATCAGGATGTCGTCAAGACATACTATCTTTATTTCTATAGATGGTTCTACGAAGTAATCCCGTTTAGCTATGGAAGTGCATTTATACTGCAGGTACTTTTAACAATTATGAGGACTTTATCAATGTTATTAAATATTTATATAACTTTATTTTCTCAGGTCGGTATACTACAAACTGTAACTATCGACAATATGTCAAATGTTATAGTCCTCGTTGCAGCTCTTTATCTAATCTATAGATTCCACAATTTCAATCGCTTGCTGCGAGTACGTCAGAAGGAGGTAAAATGATAATTGTATCTATATCATCAATTTATAGACCATGGAATACCAATATTTAAATCGTAATTTATTTATTAAAACGGGAATCTAAACGCACGCTTTCTAATTTTGCAGTTCAAACAGTTTCATTCCATCACTTCCTACTATTAATTTCCTTTTTCGAAGTATAAATTGAATAAATTTAATTTTAATTTAGAATCAATGAAGCATTAAATAAACTTAAAACTTTCTTACAACGAATGATCCCTGTGATTTATTTAAGTTTAATTTGTTGTATGTTTATTGCTTGCTAAATACATAATTATCACACGTTTAACTAAAACAAAATAGTAGAGTTTGACAATATATTTAAAATAATTGTTATAAAAAATACTTGAATGTGATAACTGATTAAAAATAGTTCATATGTTTTAGAGTCTTCAAAACGCACATGTTCGTTGGTCAGATCTACAAATTCACTACACAAGACTGTCGCGCTTAGTAAGTGTGATCGATGCACACATGAGTCCAATAATACTCTTAGTATTTTTGACAAATCTCATTATGGTTTGCAAGCAAATATACGATATAATAATGTAAGTATAGAATTGTGAAAAATTTAACCGAAATATTTTCCTTTCATAAAAAAAGCATTAAGTTCAAATATTTCTACTGATTCTTAACTTCGAAAATATTTCGTTTTCTTTTTCAGAATTCATAATGAAATAAACAATGCTGTTACGAGTTGCTCTGCCATCTATAGGTAGGAAACATAAAAAATAACAAGTATATATATTTTTTTGTGCCTAGTAAGAAATAACAAAATCTAATTTTTAGATCAAGTCTGCTTTCGATGTTGAGTTACTTTATAAAATTTATACATACGTTATCCAAGTCAATTTTCCTAATTAACATGATGGCTCGTGTTAATCAACTGAGTCGCGAGCCGTTACAACTTCTACATACTGTAACTACTGCTGCATATAATCCTGAGGTATAAGTTTGATTCGTATATAAATAATAGAACATTTTAGTAACATGAGTATACCTGAAGGCTTTATCAAAAATATGCCATTTAGAAGAACTCAGAGAGATGATAATGTTGAATAATCTAAATTTATCAAAGACTACTGTAGTTTTTGAATATTCGAAATGTCATCAAAAGTCGGTTAAAAATCTAGTAGGACCCATCTTTATTGAAATGCAATCATCCTGTTTTTTTATTATTAGTTGCAGCGTTTTATGGATCAGGTATATCATTCAAACATCAGCCTCAGTGGATTGCAGTTATTTCATGTAAATAAAGGAACAATACTTTATGTAAGTTGGTAGTTTTTTAATATCTATATACCCATATATATAAACCTAGCTCTAACCCTCAAATCCAGGACTGTAGCAGTCTTTGTTAGTTGCTTAGAAATCCTTAAGTCCGTTTAGTAAGTCATAAATATACTCAATTTCATTTAAACTGCCTCGTAATATTCATACTTAAATGCTACCAGACGGACTGACCAACAAAGAAATTTTCATTTTACTACACTGGTTTTACAATATCCTAGGTCTTAATTTTATCTTAAACCATACAGTAATTACAAAACAGAAATCTTGAAACTAATAATTTCATACTGGTATGATTATCGCTGGCTTAAGATTTATATTTCTTAATAAGAAAATGTTTTTTACAGATGTTTTCTACCATTGTTACATATGAATTGGTATTGCTGCAGCTACCACTCATTTACGGCAAATAATACAGTGTTTTAAAATATTGTAACGCATTATATTAAGCAAGTTTGTTCTGGTTTTTAACAACACTCAATAGATTATCGCATACGTGTTTTCTAGTTGCACTTGATTTGTTTTAAGGCATAATACACGCCAATTAAGCTTTTATCTCCATATAAATATTTTAAAGTACTTATATGAATAGATAATGTTTGTGTAGTAATTAAAAATGCAGTTTGTTTTATGAAAGTATATAAAAATAAATTTAAAACTGTTTCAGTGTACTTGATAACAATTTGTGCCTTTAGTTTTAATTATTTTTGTATTGCTACTCTCTTCTTAGTTCAATGGAAGTTGTATGAAAAAACGTATTTAAACAATTTGAAATCTTAGCTCTAATTAAATTTTTCAAATCCTCTCGAATTTCTACAAACAAATTGAATTTTAATTGTTGTAAGTAAAGAATACTGCTTATTTTATTTTGTGTAAATAGTAGAATATAAAGTACTATGATATAATCAAATAATACCTTTTAAATATCACCATAACTATGTAATCAACGAATGCTGTTATAGTTTTAAACTGTTATTAAATAACAATAAATGCTTTTTGTCGAGATAGGCTGCATGTAACATCACACAAAAAATGGAAAAGTCTGAAGTGAATTGGTCCTGTATACGATATTTGATACGTAATTTCGATGGTTATTGTAATGAGTGTTTACTTTTTCATCAAGCATTTCTCATATCAATATGAATTTCCCATAAGATATTTTCATCCCGTCTTCTCATGGTCGAATTAGTCCCCATTATTCGAAGCAATATCAATTTACAAGCTAATTAGAGATGATTTTGACTTGAATAATATTTTTAGTGTTATAGGATATAAATGTAATGATATGGATTTAGTCACTTTTTCTGACACATCCTTCATTTATAATGGGAAATAAGTACTAGTTTTGAGTATCCTTTTATGTTGAAGTACATCCGAAAAATCTCAAGTTTGTGCAATATTTTTTGGGAAGACGGCAGTTGTAAAATATAATGTCATAAAATAGAGGGGATATCGATAATATTATTATGATAAAAGTTATCTTTTTTACGACTGACATAAAATTCGTTTGATATTATAGCTCCAGCAGGTCCTTGGGAATTGTTCTTTTGTTGACTTAAACTGTTAACAAAAGATCAATCCCGTATATTCCGACCGTATGATTCATCGTTAATGTATTTATCATAGCCCATATAAATATTATAATATAAAAATAATAATTTTAGCCAAAAGACAGTAATAATTTTGTTTTAATATATTTCTAAAGGCGTTATAATATTTTAAGTATGTAAATATAGAGATGGTTTTGAAAACCGTACAGTAAAAAATCGACTTATTTATTGAAAATAGTTTATATGCCTAATATGAAAAGTTGCAATTAAATCTGTTTCAGAAATTTCTAAATTATTGAGAGTCAGATACATACGTACTGTTAGAAATAATTTAGCCAGTACTTCCACTTAGGTGCTTATTGCACCACAAATCGTTATAGAATCCTCAGTCTAACACTTTCATCCTATTTATAATATTCAAAGGTAACATATTTACTCATATGTGAGGGTAAGATAATATCATACAGAGGTGCTAGTTCCCCTCGGAAGAGATTCCATTAAAAAATAAAACATTATATAAAACTTGCTAAGACTCTAATTATAAATTGTTAAACCAATTGTTAAGTATTTGGACATTTAAGATACTGTCCAGAATTATTATTAACATTAATTTACACTATTATAACAAATATATGTACAGATGGCACTAGTTGACCATCATAAGAAATCCCAATAAATATTGGAATATAAATAACAATTTAAATAATTACAAATATGATTGCTAACAGCACACACTACACATTTTATTGTAATGAAGGTTCGTCCAATACAAATTCTTAATTTTCATAGTATCTCTATTGTAATGAGATGCATATTGTAGGTTAGTATGTAAGATTAATGATATTTTATTGAAAACTCACAAAATATCTACCTCAATAAAGTTGCCCTTTTCAATTATTCACCGAGTGAAGATAAGTTCGAGCAAATACACAAATACTTTATACATAAAATATTTTTATTCCACCATTTTATTTTAACACATAAAAACTGTTTCACATACAAAATTTTATTTTAACATACAAAACTGTTCAAAACTGTTCATTTCTCACAAAAAGTAGCATTTATAGCTGATCTTTGGTAACTCTCTATTTTTCATAGATATCTGTTTAGTTTTCTTTGGAAAACAAATCCAACAAGAGTTGTTTATATTCTTCTGTTTTTATTGAATACACCAGTCTAGCATTTGCGTCTTCTTTTTTTACAAAGTCGTTGCTGGTAATCCCTCTTTTGTTTCCTAAATATAATAAAAAAATAATGATTTATATTAAATCGTAGACTGAAAAAAAAATTTAAATAAACAAACTGATTATTACTTTGTTTCAGAATTTTTACAAATAAACTGTGAAAATAGATACATGGTTTTCTGTAAAATGACTAAAGTTAAATAAAAAATCTGTTGAATACTCACCACATAGCGAAATAGAATTTTTTGCATATTTATACTCTTTAACCAATTGAGGTTGGGTTGCAATTGCAACTACTGCAGGGTCTAATGCTTGCCAAAACTCAGAATTTTGTAATGATATCCTTTCATAGAGATTAAGTTTTTTTATAATTTCATTATCAATACTTCCGAGTACGTTTTCTCTCCATTCCTATAAATAATATTAATGTCTTAAATATCATCATTTTCATCAGCTTTTTGGTTCCTATTGCTGAGCAAAGGCCTCGTACAAGGAAAAGGTCAGAGCATTTATCACTACGCCTTAAGACTGATAGGTGATTTCAACTTATAATTTCAAATCATAAGTCCAAGTTTCCTCACGATATACTTATAAAGTGTAAAAAAATTTGTTAAAAACATTATATTTCAATATCTGTTATAACATATTTGGTATAAAGATGAATTCTTACCCTTGTAAAATTTAAATATTGCTTGACTTGTGAAAAAGGTAAAAATGTAACTTTGTCTGGCGTTGCATGCTGCGCTACTATATGGTAGGCTTCTACGTCCATATGAGCATTGAACTCCGGTTCTGATTCCTGTTTACCTTAAATTGATTTTAATTAGTTTTGACCTCATGTGTAACTAATATGTATAGCTTGAAGTTAACCTTGATAGAGAATATGCAGTATTATTCATCCATAATTTTACGTACTTTGAATATGACCTGCCCCAATATACAAGTGTTGCAATCTTGATATAAAGTTTGGGTCCAATTGGATGGCCATTGCTACATTAGTTAACTTTCCAATTGTGACGACCATTAACTGTCCTGAAAACAGTTATCATCAATTAAAATTATCTCTTTTTTTACATAATTAATTATACATTATTCATGTTTGGTAAGGATTAGATTAATAAAGATTTTTCTGAAATATACCTTCATATAGCTTTGATAACTCAATTAAAGTTAAGATGGCATTTTGTTCCTGTGCAGGAATAAGATCCGTGTCATTATCACCTACATCTCCCAGACCATCGACTCCGAAATAGTCAGTAATTGGTGGAGTTATTACAAGGGAGGCTTTGGCACCTCTATAAATTGGGACCTAAAATTAAAACACCTTATTAGTAACAAATATATGAATAGTGTTTTTCTTCGTCTACCTGGCAATTTCCCAGCTTTAGCCAGGGTCTGCCTTACATGTTGTGATTTGTGAATAGTTTTGGCTAATTGTTTTTACGACCGGCCGCCTGCCTTAAATCAACCCTCTTTTGAAATGCATTAATCAATGATGTCTAAATACTCTAAGAAACTTACACTAGGCCAAATATATGAATACTTGCAGGTATTGTTTTATATAGTGATATCTACCAATTTTGCTACAACACAAATAAGATATATTATTAGGCAGTACGTCCTGATTGCACTTTCATGAATTAAAAATCAAATGAAACTGTTTCATCGCAACTGCTAAAGTCTCTATTACGAGAAAGACATCAAAACGAAAGGTAAAATGTGGAAATGTATTGAAAAAATATAGTTTTATTAACAATTAATTGTGGGAAGACTAAACTCCCAGAAACTTTATGACTTTCAGGAACTCACTCAACACTTAGGAATTTCTACATGAAAACAACGAAACGTTTTGAACATAACCTAGTACAATTACAAAGTTACATATATAAATACGAAATATTATGAGAACTTACATCTTGTCTTTTAGCGACTTTGAGAACCCGTTGATTATTTCTATAGACATTGTCCTCGTTGGTGTTCCCATTTCCAGTTGTTAATGCGACCAGTTTTGGACTGTGAATGTAAATAATGTAATATGTAAATAATTAAAAAAATTACGTGCTATTTTCAATACACCTTTTAACAAGATTTTATCAAATCTTCAAATCGTTTTTATTTTAATATTTCTAACTAATTTATTATACAATGTGAAACCAAACCAAAGCTGAGTCGCAAAAGATATCCGAATTTTAATAGGGTTATCTTACAATCTCATAGTTGCTGTGGCAACGCCTGGTTCTGATCCATCGTGTGTTTTAATGTAGTGATTGAATAGATCAATATCGTTTTACTCGGAACAACCATAAGATTTCGATACTTTTCGCTGAACTGTTCCACTATCATTATATTTGACGTTGACTTACAAAATTTTTACCTAATCAAAAAAAGAGCTGCATCTAAAAAAAAAAAAAATTTACCCATTAAGATGTTTTTCAAACAGCAGAGCCATAAATATTGCCATTGCATCATCAGCACCAGCGTCATTATCGATGACTAGCTTCGGGGAAGAACTACAACAATACAAAGTACTTAAGTTTACCTTGCTTAGAATTCTTCAAAAAGTGAGTCAAAAGTATAGTATAGTATATAACAAAAATAGTTGTCGTTTGAAGATATAGTTCTAATCGCTGTTAATGAATGATTTTATTTTTTTAATTCATTACCTTTGTCTTTTAATTTTTGACCTTCGTCAAACCTCAATTTTATCTTCATTCATTATATCGAATAATATATAATGATCCGGCTACAGACTACTTATAACAAATATTACATAGCATTATGTATACACTAATAAAACGTGCCGTAAAACAACTAAAACGATAACCTAAATATTCATTCATCTGCTTTATCTACTGTTACATAATACTCGCATATTTGCTTACTCATAATGCTGAACGTCTTACGTTTTTACTTCAAACTTTTTTAAAGAACTATCACTTACCTCACAAATGCATTTGTAAACGTTACATATATACTAATTAAAACGACACCACAAACACATGAAGTCTTCATCTTACAAGATCACAAATAAAAAGCGCGTGGGATCGTTCAACGTCCGACATATACTAATCTAAAACTATAAAATAAGATATATAATGATTGTAAATTTGCCCGATAAGCGTGTGCCCAGTAACCGTATGCAACTTCAGATTAAAGATTAATGCTAAATATTAGTGATTTTTATCAATAAAACGTAATTATTATGCAGAAATTAATGCTAGTAACTTGCTTGTTTTTCTGTAATGGATTATACTCATAAACACTTATAGCTCATACAAATTTAGATAATAAAGTTAGAGACTGTTTCTATATAAAATTTGTTCAGTCTTTTTGTCAAATCTCCAATGGACAAAATAGATGATAAAAAGTTAAAGTTATAAGTAACCTTGTATTTTTAACGTCTACTATATGTAGCAAAATACAAAGTTACTCCCACAATTATAATAACTATTGCGATCGTAACGTTTTATAACTTTATTTTTATAATAAAAACAGGCTGTCGTACTAAAAATTTAAATACACAATTTTTGCAGTGTTCTTAAAGGAGGTTATTCGTCCTTGTGTTCATTAGTAAATTATAATATTGAAATACTTAAAATAATTTCCAACGTCATGTTAAGCATGTATTGTTATGTAATTGCAAAACAATACAACATATTATACTCCTTTTAAGACCGACAAAGAAAAATCTACCGTATCTAATAAGCAAGCACGCTCAAGATGAAATAAATGAAATAACAGAAAATACCTACTAAATATTAAACGAAAAATTAAGTCTAGTTTGTGACTTCAATTATAGAAATATTAGTGAAACTTATGGATCTTTGTTATTAGGCGATATTATACAATATATAACAACGAAATACGAACATTTTTAGAAATAAATTCTAAAATTTCTACTAAAACGACATAACCAATGAAGTAAAATATTTAATTAAGTTTTTTTATTGCAAATTTTACTGATTTTTATTTCTTTATTGCATACGAAAATATCAATAAAAAACTCAGAAACTGTAAGTAATTACCCTTATGATCTTAATTGGTACCTAGTATGTCTGTGTCAAATAAATAATCAGTACCTAAAGATGTTTATTATTTTATAAGATTTCCCAAATCAAAAAGTTCGAAGCTAAGTTATTTAATATTAAGATATAAAAAAATTAAAACAGAACAAGAATTTCTATTAGCAAAACACTGATAACATATAACCATTTAACATTCTAAACAATACGCATTATTAAAAGTATCTATATATAATAAATATTTTTTAAACAAATAAAATTTCTAACCTTCTTATTTGTTCGTCTTGTTGATTCATTTTAATTCTCTCTACTCTAAGAATCAAAATATCACTTTCCGATGATATTTATTATTCGACAACGAGTAATAAAACTCAAATCCACAAGACATGACACTTCAGAATCCTATTCAATTGTCAAATATTTAGATAATATAAACAGCTGATAAACGTCAATTACGTTAGGTGAATGACCGGGCGAAATATTCTCAAACAGTTCGTGTCGTCAAGACAAATAAATTTAAAAGATTTTAATAATAACAAAATAATGCAAGTAATCGTATTTATTTTTTGATAAATATATAATTTAATATTACGAATTATTTTCCTTTTAATATAAATATTCATTTCGACAATGCAGATGTTGTCATGACTAAACACTTCATTTTTTGTGTCTGATAACCTTGGCTTAGTATTGACCTGTCTTACATATTACAGTTTCATTTGGTGTTGCCATGTCAATATCAGTCTATGGAACTGCATTATTATAAATTTTAAATTTTATATTAGTGCCTTTTAACAATTTACTATCAACTCACTAAGATGTTAAACTTATTATTCATGGATTTAAAAAAAAATTACTTCATTCCATTGGACAAACTCCTTTATGGTTTATTCATACAATATTCAAGATTATAAATCGTTCAACAAATAAAAACGTTGGCATTTTCAAAATATTACACGATTGATTTTGAATGAAGTTAAAAAAATATATAAATGGTATTATCCTTACTTGTTATCCACTAATTATACTGAAGATGATATTACATATTTTGACTTTAGAAACATCAATTTTTAGCGAAAAAATGTATAACATAACGCACTCTTATTATTTTTTATCGGGCTATAAATGTACTAAGATGAATATAAAATCTTACAAAGATTATCTAAATTACAAAGTATATACGCTTATATACAAGCTATATACGCTTATATACATCATGTCTGCCCGTGAACACGTTTGCTGCTAAGGAAAAAAAGCGTCTGGATTATGAAGTTCTAAAATAAAAATAAAAAACGTAGTAAGTAATGTCCCAAAATCTTAGTTTTATTTAATTACGTAGTACTTATAACAAATGTTTTGTTTTTATTTAGGAAATCTCCTCAGATTAATAGCCAACCCACGCCAGTTTGAAAACGTATGAGGTTAAATAAGAATAAAGAACGGGTTTAAGCTTATAGTTTTAATTAAAGGTTATCTATAAACCGACAAATATATTTTATTTTATTGATATACAATTTCCTGAATAATATAAAAGGTAGACTTATACTCTTGAATGAGAAGATGACACTTTGTATATCGTTGTGAAACAATAAATAATAAACTATTTATTGCTTTATAAACTTCAGGCTGACGGTTTAAATTTTACTAATCCTATGTAGTATTTATGTGTGTATGTATGGATGTTTACTCACCTCGATAAGACTTACAATATTTTTATATTATTTATGGACTTAAAAAAATGCGTTTTCATATTTATAAAATGTGATCAGAAATAACTTATATTCTAAATAATATATAAGTATTAAGAATGAGGAATTAAAATGTCTAACAATAGTTGGATAGCAATGACATAAACGATAAGAAGACGTTGTTTCTAAATCATGTATACACAAAACAGACGAAAAAATATGTTGGTTGGCATTTTCTGTGAAAATAAATTACAAAAAAGACTATAATCATCTGTTTATGTTTCCTTAAAAATGTTTATACGATTATATCAATGAACATTTAAGTGCTCCTATAAATTTTATAACAGCAAATTTGCGAAAAAAGAAAATAATATAAGTTTTATGTAAAGATATTTTTTAAAACCAAATAAAATAAAGTTTTAATTTATTTATGTCACACGAACTGTTCATTGACCTTTGGTATTTCATTGATTTGTTTTATTTATTATTGAACTTTGTGCGATGTAAATAATTAAAAACCTCTTATGAATTCAAAGATATTTAAAAACATTTTCTTATAATATCACACCTCAGATTTTTGAACTTGCATGATGAATTAAAATCTTTGAACTAGTAAGTCAGGAGTCTTTGAAGTATCTACAAAATGTATAAATCTTAAAAAAAATATACCTTTATACTTTTTAAATTTATCAAGCAATATTTATAAGTTATCGAAAAGTATAAGTTTGCCACAAAGCTGTTAAGAAATAGCGTTTTGCTTTTATACACATGGTGCTTAGAAACGAAAACTGTACCTACTCTATTTTTATTAATTAAAATTCAACTTGAAGCTACTGATTCATAATTAATATTTGCTTTACTCGATATTTTATTATTGTGACATTTAACATTCACGGTTTATACATTACTGTTTTTGTGGAGGAAAATTTACATTAACTTTATTACAGGGTGAAAAATATGGTCAAGAATATAATTCTTAACTAGCTATTGTGCATAACTGTACCTACGTCTTTGTATCTTTGGACGAAAATCTATATTAGCTTTTTTCCCTAAGTACGTGTGTACATATGTGACTAGGTGGTAAACAAACCGTGAGCTATGCTGATGTATCGTGATATATGTAGGTTTCAGACAGCAGAATTTTTATATTAAAAGAACTTACATTTATGGATTATAAAGATTTATATAATTTACTAATCGAACTAATCTTAGACGATAGCTAAATACATATATTGGCAGTTGTAAATCTTTTACCACTTTCCTTAGTGTTTAAATTTATTTTTTCTGCCATTACTTTTAGATATTAAGACTAAAACAATATGTAGTTAAGTATCGCTCGTTAGATTAATTAGTAAATAATTGCGTTTTAAAATTATATACATTCTAATTTACTGGATTGTGCGGTCACATTAAATGTTTATGAATTTTTAGATGTTGTAAATTTATTATATGTATTTTGTAATTATGTTTACATTTTTATAAATAAGCATGCAAGTCTTTGTATTTTGTTTGTGACAAGTATTCTATATGTCACTAGGTAGCTTTTAGTTCAGAAGAAAAAACAGAATAAAGGAAATCTTCATAGGCCTCCTTCCTCACTTTGTATACTAAAGCTACATTTGCATTTTCTTTTGTTGAGTATATGTTAGTGTTTCGGCCTCTGTCTGCATCTGAAAGTGGTATATTCATTAGCAACTAGATACAAATAATTATTTAAACATACTATATTATAAATACTTTTCTATGAAGACATATTTAACTTAAAAATCAACTTGATTTGTAATGAAAATTAGAGAACTATTTGACCAATTTCTTAATATTCATCTGTTTAGGGAATTTATACACACTTCTTTTCATTCATTTTTTTTATGATATATCCTGCTTTTGATCTCAGTGAAGGGTAGTGCAATACATTGAAGCAGGGCCAATATTTCAAAAACATTTCTACACAAATTTTTGTGAAAGGTTTCTTCTGCTAACAAAATTAACGAATATTATATTCATTTACAGTTATCGCCTACGGTGATTATTAAAATATTAAACAGTATTTTTTATGCGAATGAAATTCGTTCTTAATAAATAACAATACCATCACTGAAAACAAAACAACAAAATTATAATGTTTGTATAACTTGTAGTGTTATATTTCCAAAGTTTTTTAATCGGGTGGAGTTCTGATTAAATTCTAAAGTAACACTTATTTTATTGAACTGGTGTTTAAAATATTTCAACCACCATTCTAGACATTAATTAAACATTTCATTTTTTGCTTAGGGATATAAAATATTATTGAATGCATCAATGTTCGGTGGCAAACATGTTCAGTACGCTTAGTCCAAGTTTTCATGGAAACACGATATACGAAGCTTTATCCGTTTCGCGTTCAATAACTTGATTTACTATATTAACAAATAAAAAACTGTCATCGTTGCGAATGTAGTGTGACGATGCCAATTTGGGGTAAGCATGCAAAAGTCAAAGATAAAACTTACTACAAGTCATGATAGTGTGATTAGAATAACGTATCTCTTCTACTATTGAGGTCTCCTCTAATGCTATTGCCATAACTGCTGGATCTAGAAGACACCATATCAAACTACTATTTATAGACGTCCGTTCGAAATTATTTTGATGTTTCATTATTTTAGTCGTAATCGATCCCAGTTGTTTTACTCTCCAATCCTGCAACAGTGATATTTGAAAGCTTTATTTATGAAGGTAAATTTTCGTACTATTTGCTTACTTGCTAAATTTTCGTAGGATTTAATCAATAAATCATTCTTTTTTATAATATACATTACTACGATTTATGCATCATACAAATGTGACTCATTTCCATATAAAAATAATCTGTTCATTTGATTCGTGAAAAATATTCAAACTTCCGATATTATTATTATAATTTAACAGTTTTCCGTTCAAAAATCTTCCCTCTTTTTAGTAACAATAAAGCTATTGTATTAGACACGGAATTCTTAATAAGCAAAGTGACAGTGCAAACTTGTTCTTATCATATGCAGAAGCTGTTTAAGCGTAGGTAGCATCGTATTATTTTATATAAAATTACTTTTATAATTTAATAGTCATAATCATAGGCAGACCCTGGCTATAGTTGGGAAATTGCCAGGTAGAAGATAATCATAGTAGGTTAATAGTCATAATAAATTTGTGCTTAAAATATATATTGAAAAGGACCCTCTCAAGAGCTTACTCTAAATACTATTTATTTTTACCTGAGTTAATGGTAAATAATCCATAATTTGTGAAAACGGTACTACAGTCATCTTTTCTTGAACTCCATTCTGTGTTACAATGTAATAAGCTTCGACATCCATGGCTGCGTTGAACTCAGCAGTCTTATAATTGTCACCTAAAATTGTTTTAATTTTAAATGGGGTGAACAAATGCTAGTAGGTAATTATATCATTTACCAGTTATCACTCAGTTCCAAGTCAATAAGATACGAACGAATAAAAATACACTCAAAATAGTCCAGTAGCTTTTTTATGATTGTTTCAGGTATATACGCGCAAACACGTATATTTAAATTTATGTCATATTTAAATAATTATAATTTTAGAAATCCCGTTTTCTGAAACAGTGGGAATTACGTATAATGTAATATTTTGTAGTAAAATTTTAGAGACTTCTAGAAATACAATCATCTGAACTGAAGTTTATGTATGATAAATATATGTATACAAAATGACAAAATACCATAAACGTGTCCGGCTCCGATGTAAATATGTGAAAGTCTAGATAGGAACTCAGGATCCAATTTCATAGCTAGTGCTATATTTGTGAGGGGACCTATTGCTACTATTATTAGGTCACCTGAAATGAACAAAATAAATTAATTAAAAAGCGACAATATATAACATTAATACCATCACAATGGAGAACTTTAAGTGAACTTGTCTTTTACTTCTATTACTTTAAAAATCATGTCTTAGTAGTTATACGTTAAACACTTCATTTTAATATAAAAATTTACAATGACATAATTCAAATTATCAAATTACTCAAAGTTTTTTATAACTACCCACGTATATAACTTTAAAGTAACATTTCTAATCTGATACCATAGTTTAAAGAAGTAGAATAGTAAATTTCACTTTCAAATTCCAAATAAGAAACAGATCACTAAATTCAGAATAGATTTAACCTTGATATTTCTTTGATAGTTCAATAAGGGCGATAGCAGCACAGTCCTTCTGGGCTTCAATTGGAGAAAAAAGTTCAATAATTTCATTGTCTCCAAGACCATCATAACCAAAAAAGGCATCGGTAGGAATGGTCTGTATTAAAGAAACTTTACTTCCTCTATAAATTGGAACCTGAAAAAAAAGGGAAATGGTATTCGTAGTTATATTTAACATGACTATTAAGAAAATAAAAATTGTTTTTTACATCTCTTCTATCAGCTACACTGAGGATTCTTTGGCTATTGTTGAAAACTTGATCTTCCTTAACATTGCCAAAGGTTGTTGTGAGTGCGACGACTTCTGGCCTGGAAAGAATACTAGTATTAGTATATAAAATAAAAAAAAAAGTTATTATTATATTAGTTAACATATATGTTATTTATTATGCAGGAATATTAAATAAAAATTCATTAGTATTCTTTTTAATTAGTTTTTATTCAAAGATATAAATATATCTTGCCATACTAGTAATAACTAGATTTCAAATTAATTAATAATCTCAAATTATCGTATTTTACACTTTATTTGAACTTTTTATTATATTTAGGTTACTATAAAAAAAGTTATAGATTTTAAGTGAGAAATATCTCTGTAAATAATTCACTTAGTGAATTATTTACATAATTATGTATCTCCAATTGAATTCGTATTAAACATAAAGAAAAAACAAATTATTCAGAAATCGAGTCATGCTATTTTTAAACACAATTTTAAAACTGGTTATTAAAATAGTAAAATGACTGTTAAAATTAAACTTTAAATGAACATAAACACGAAATTCTGAAGATTTATCTTTTATTATGTTGTATTGTTATGAGACTATTAATATCAACTTACCCATCAAAATATTTCTCATATAACACAGCGAGAAATATCGCCATGGCATCATCTGCTCCGCCGTCATGGTCGATAATTAACTTCTTTTTCACTTTTTGACTGTCTGAAGCTGGCCCAGCACTTAAAAATTATTCAACTAACATTACTTATTCAACTGCACTTCATCTTTTACCAATTTAATATATTCTACATGCTTATTCAAAACTAATGCGACTATATAATTAATAATATTTATTTCAATATTTTTGATTGATTTAGTTAATATTTTATACGTCGGTCTTACCTGCTTGACACGGCAAATAATACTATCAAAGATACAAAGATCATGACTAAAAGGACGGACGCCACGAAATAATGCCATTTATTAAACATTTCCTGCTTTTATACTAGTTGTAAAAATTGTTTTTGAATCTTGATTTAAATAATAAGTATGTTAGATATCACATTCTACTCATAAATAGCTTGTAAATCTACAAACACTCTCAACATGTATATAGTGTATTAGTTGTCTTATCATTTTATTACCTTTTAAATGTTTCGTTGTTCTTATCTGTTGTGACAATAAACTAATTAGATCTTTATATCATCTGCATACAGTAAAAAATAAATAGGTACATAATTTCATATCATTAGCGAAAACAATTTAGAGTCGGTACCAATAGTAATTATCCAAAATTAGAAGACTGTTTTGCTGATGCATTTACATATAATAAAATGACCTAACAGTTATATTTACTGATATATTTATAATGATATGATAAGGTTTTTTGTTGATTTCAAGGAATGTTGTCGTATTTCAAGTCGAAGTATTTGTATAATATCATTTCAATTACATGTTTCTCCTTTTATAAATATGCCCTTTAAATACATTCATAAAAAGTGATCACGGCCAATGTATAAACCAGACTTTTTGCTGTTTTATTGAGATAATCTTAAAATAAAGAAATAAAAACTGTTTAGGATGATTTTAATAACCGTAACTCAGATTGCATCCTGAATATTGAAAATTCCTTGAATAGTACTTAAAAAATAGTACATTATAATTTAACTTTTGAATATTAATACTAAATATTAAATTGAGTAAAAACAAACTGAAAGTTAAGTCGGCACGAAGGCCAACGGGTTATTTTAACGGGTTATACAACGGGTATAAAGGACATGGGTTGACATTTAAGAAATCTAAAGAAGATACCTACTTTATGTTAGTCATTGCCTGGAAATTATACCCTTCCCTTAAGGAGTCAAAATGAAAGACTAAATAGATAAGGTGCAACATTTCATACTGTATTCAAAGGCCTAAGTGGCATTAATAAACATACATATTACATTTATATAATTTTCATATCATGATCAAACCTAGGCTTAGTGCAATTGTATACGATTAATCACTCTTGAAAGTGATTTCCAAATTGAAAGATCCTTTAAGTAACAATTTGAAATATAAATAATATTCCCTGTATAGGATGCATTGATCTTATATGAATATTCATTTTGAAACAAAAAATCGCCTCTTTAATAAAATAACCTCAACGCATCTTTTTATGCATTTAAATGCGGAAAAACAAATTAATACAACTTAATGAATTGAGAACCAGTTCTTCTTTATTGAGAACCAGTTCTAGGAAATCAATCTGGATTTATAACTTGATGTAGTTCGCACTTTTATATTCTTAACAGTTTGGCACGTCTTCGTAAAATTTTTGGTTTAGAAGGCTGCAAAATTATCAGATGACAAACAAAATTTGTGTCCGGTCAGAGGATGGTAGTTACAGAAAAAATAGGCAATTAATGGAGGTTGGTATGAACTGGTCAATTATTCATTGAAATTATGTCAGCGTTGGCTCTAAGGGCCATACTTTGGCTTAGGAAGTCATTGAAAGGAAGGTGGGACCCGGGAATGGAAAAACATTCTCTGACTTAAGATAGCTCTGAGTGACGGGTTTAAATTGGGACTTCGTTATCATCGGTGAACGTGCACCGGATCTATTGTCTGTATCGTTTTGACAAGGTTTTTAGGACTTGAATGAAAATATAGTATCCAAATTTTAGATTTTACCTGTCTCTTCGGTTACTTCACAGTAATTGAGGTCACGATCAGACGAAATGAACGTATCAATAAAATATAGATTGCCTAGTACATTCAACAATCATTACGTATTTAGTCCGTTTCTTGTCTGAGTTCTGAGGTAGTCGACCATTTCAATGATGAGTTTGTCTGAATGTGATATCGCGACTTGGAAATATTTGGTAGTGATTGTCCTGAAATAAGAACAACTAAGGTGAAAAAAAGACAACCTTCTATATCTTTTGTAACTCAAGCTTTTTTAAGTTATCTATCTTACCTTCATTTACGCTGAAGTACCTAGTTTTGTAATGTCATTTAAATGTATTAGAAAATGTATCAAAACCTATGTTTTTATGTTATTCTATATATGTGATAAAATGTCACAGATCTGTATGTTCGTGAATGATATATAATAAAAAAATATGCGTCTTTATATGGCTAAAGTCACGGACACACCTTATCTTCTCTATAATATAAAAATGAATCGCAAAATGTGTTGGTAAGCGCATAACTCAACAACGCCTGGACCAATTTGGCCAATTCTTTTTTTTTAAATGTTCGTTGAAGTCCAAGGATGGTTCTTACGGCGAGAAAAAAACAAATATTTGACGGGAAAACCCTAAAAACAACCCTTTTCTTTTTCACATACAAACGTTTTCTAACTAAAACGTAGAATTAATTTGAGCTTTATTACTATTGTATAAAGTTCATATTAAATTACAAGCACTCACTGTTATCTAAGAAATGTAGGTGTGTTCCTAACGTCAAAAAGAAAATTTGCACTTTCTTACCGTTAAACAAAGTTCAAATTCAATCATATCTATCAAAACAGTGTCCGAGTGTGCGTTGGAGCACAGAATACGTCGTTGGGGGATTTAATGTCGCGTTCAGAAACTAAAAAAAAAAAGTGATCGCGGACCCGACCAATTGACTAATCACAAAATATAATAATAAACATCAGATTTGTTTGTCTATGCGCCAGGTAATCAAACAAAAAACATCGTTTATCACAAAGCACTACAATGAAAATGAAAAAAAACTGATTTTTTTTGTTAATAATTATGAATTACATGATTAACATTACTTACTTTTAAATGCGCGAAACATAAGCTCAAGCTGAGCTTGACGTTTGTGTGACAATGTATATTAGTCTATGATAAACTATTGTCTCTGTCTTAAAAGTTCAGTTAGTCTTTCAAATTGTTTGCAAAAAGTAAAATATATTTTGTTTGTTTTGTATGGTCTTGTACGAGTACATAATATTCAGTTTTACCATTTGTGGCCGGAGTTATAATAACAAAATACCTACATAAATCATTTACCATTTCTTAGTTTAATTTTCACATTGGTTTCTAAAGGATAATTTGTACTGTATGTTTTTTTCTGAAGTGTTTGTTCAACAAGGTAAGTCAAATTATTATAGTGTGGAAAGTTTTGATAGACCATTTTGATACTATTACAAAAGAATAGGAATAGAATAATAGTATTTTTTTATTTTCAGTTGAATTTTTGTTCAAAACATGCCGGCAATTAGACGTACAAACTTAAGTCGCAGAACCAGTAATGCTTCAAGTCAAATATATAGAAGAGCAAGTCTAAATGATGAGCAACGTGGAATGCGGAATGAAGTTTAACGGAATCGATGGAACCGAAACCAACAATATTGTGTTGCTTTTAACCCTTAAAGAGCTGCATTTGATTATAACAGAAATGGACTACAGTACAATAAATTCTATTCCAACTTTTAAGGTAAGTTTATTGAAAATCATTTACCACTATTGTTGACAGTTTTCTATTGTAATGGTGTATCATTTGAAATGGCTTAAAGTACATTTGTAGCTCTGAGAATTACTTTTAGTAGCCAGAAGGAATTGTGTTAAAAAAGTTGATGGGGGAAATGGTAGTGTTCACAAAGTATTTTGGGTGTCACTTGGTGTTTTGAACAATTCACTTTACAATATTACATATATGTAATACAGGAATGTTTACCTTTGCAGATTCAAGGACAAATATATATCATTGAACTTATTAGTTATTACCAGTGCCGGTCAGTGACTATAAATTTTTCCAAATTGATTTCATGGGTGATTCAGGAAGACAAGTTGATCAGCGTTGTGTACACAACTATTCTGTGAAAAGACCAGTTGTGGAACAGCTCCAATTATTATAAGATCAACACGACCCATTGGTTGCATTATTCATGACCGCATTAGATCACATGCCATCTGATAATCACAAAATTGTTATCAAACACATAAGACATTTTAATGCCCATAGAATCGATGAAGTCGCTATTGTCATTGTGGGTAAAAATGTAAATAACAACAATATTGTTTTACACAGGTGTAACAACCAACTGCAGCGTGTGTCCGAAACACATCGAACATATATAAATATAGTTTATCTTATTTTGGCAAAGTGAAGATGGGTATTATTTTTAATGAAGATGAGAAATCCAGTTACAGGTAAATAAAAATATTAAGTTTTTAATGTTTATCATAGCTTTAAGTAATTTATAGAATTTTATCACAAAGAAAATGTTTTAGGTTCTGAAAGTTATAAAAAAGTAAATTCAATGAATTATGATTCATATAGACTTATGGTTGGAGAAGTTGAGGTCAATCACATCTTAAATTGTTAGCGTCTCTTTCACCAATATGCTGTTAATTCGAATGTAAAAGTAGAAACTGAGTGATTAACGTTTTTCAGGTTGAACCAGGCAATACTCTGTTCAGAGGAATAAGAATATTAACTTCATTCAGATAAAAATGCAACGGATATGCCTTGATTGTAGGGCGATACGAAGTTTGCCGGGTCATCTAGTATAAAATAGGAATAAGAAATATTGTATTTATGAACAGCGCCATCTAGTTTTAAATCTAAGAAGCAACATCTCTTTTAGATACAGTTTCTAACCGTACTTTTGCAATAAAAGTGCCATCTTATAATAAATGTATGAAACTTTTTACACGCTTTTAACTACATCAAAATATATTATGTACTACTGTTGTCTTAATATAGATGACTCTTTTTTAAAAGCCTCTAAAATGAAAGAAAGCCAATTTCGTAGGAAAAAGTTGAAAAAAAGATTGTTTGAAATGCAGTATAATTAATATTTAATAATATATATTAATTTAAAAAGTGTTATTAATGCTATAATTCTAAAATAAAAACGGCACTAAATCAAAATTATTAATTTATTGGCAAAGTGTCTTCTTTTTCATGTAAATTGCTTGTAGTCGTCCTGCAAAAGAACATGTATGTATATTATAAGAATTTTTAAACATTGGTCTGAATTTATACGAATAACCTTTTTTATTATGACTATATTCTTTCTCTATAATACATATGTAGTTTCAAATCTTTTAGTCAGGTTATTTACTTTGCCAGATTTATAATGGTAAGCATATATTTTAAAATATGAAAAAAAAAGGATCATAAAACTGTTTATACATGAGAGTTTTTAATTGATTGTAATTGATATTTATGTACGTTTGTATGAGGTTTTAGTAGCATAATAGTCAACAAGCACTAAAAACAAGTACTGTTTTTCTAAAAAAAGTGGAATATGTGTAGTATTTATTTAAAATATTGGAAATCTAGATACCGCACTATAGAACCACCATTGTCGGATATCTTTATCCTCTATAGGTGGTACTAATTCATTAAGCTCTGGTGCATCTTGGTCAATTTTTATGTGATTGTAGAGGTCCTGCAAAATAAATATAAATATTGTATATATATTTCACTTTTATAATATAGTCGTCTCATATCTATTAATAATTAGTTTTGATTAAAGTTACTTATAAATTATTTATTTAGATATATTTTGTTAAAGTAACAAGCGGTATGGCTTAGTTGTGCTTTATGTAGAAGTAAACATATCATTTATATAATATTACATATGAATATCTCTTGGGTTCCTTAGACAAATGTCTACAATTACAATGATTATAGGCAAAAAATTTACATATGTTTCTAAAGTAGATTTTTTCAAGTAAGAAAATTGTTGTCTAGATGCCAACCTTTGAATTATATAACCAATTAATCTTTTTAACTTTTACTGTCTCTTTGTCGGATAAATCCATTTCATGTTCAAGTGAAGACGAGGCATTTGTCGGGTGTTGTTGAACTTTTTCTGGCACTGAATTACGTAAAGCTGACTTTTCTTCGTACTGATTGAGTAACTGTAAAACATATCTAAATTAAAAACTGAACGGTTTTAACGAGGAATTTCCTGAATAGAGTAATACTTAAATATTCATATATCTAAGTATTATCCTATTTTGTGGTCTAAAATTTTGATCATAATTATATTTTTACTACAAATAATAGAAAAGAATAGATAAAGAAAGTCAGATAAATACGAAATGTTATATATTCTTTTTTTATTTAGCTGTGAACGCATGCAAAAGAAAATATCTCCCTTGGGTATTTTACTTTTCTCGCATAAAACTGCGAAAGGAAGCGGGGATTGGAATTTATGGGAAGGGGACAAAAATTCCACGGGTATATAAACTTTGGAGGGTCATTTTAAGACATTCGTCCTCACATTAGTTTGCAATTAAAGTCGTGCCTTTTGACTTAAAGGAAATTACGGAGAGAAATATCTTCTTGGAAATTGGCATAGTTATAGTTTAGGTGATAATCTAATTATTGGAAAGTCCATATTTTATAAATACTTTTAAAGATCTAATTGTTCAGGTTGATAATAAAGAAGATTTTTAATGATGTATTATCATGAAGAAGAATGTAGTATTCATAGCAGAGATATATTAATAATATAAATAATAAATTTGTTTCGGCGTCTAAATAGGTAACAATTATTAATTTATTGTGTGAAAATCCTATCAGAAACATTTCTGTCCGTACGAGTACGTGCACAAGTGTTACAAAGTTTCTTTTATCTATTCGGCTCTGTTGTCTTTTGAATCTGTTTCTTTACAGAAAATATATTTTACATCTCCGTCTTTCAACGACTGTTACAAAATATTTGTATTTTTCGTTTTATTTCACGTTTCTCTTTCTTTATATTTACGACTACCAATTTCCGTATTATACATAGTAAATATAGTTTTCATCCAAACTATCCTCATCATTTTGTTTACATATTCTATTACTGCTTACAATAGACACTTCACTCTTATAGACATAAAAACAATAAACACATTTCTGTGATCGAATCTGCGGAAATCAACTAAGTTATGATACATTAAATTCCTTATGTACGAAAAAAATAGCACCTTTCCAACTTTATTATTATGGTATGATAGTAGACCGTAAAATATACACAAGGGACATAAAGAAATAAAAAGAGAATCTAACTAGTAAAAAAAACGACAAAATTACTAACGTCATCATTCCTGAAAAGAAAATAATTTCATAATAGGTATTATATATTGAAATGTCTAAATATAGAACAGATTATTAACGAGTTTTAATTTTCGAACAAGGCTGAATAGTCTACTCACAAGTACTGTGATACACCTTCTTTCTTATGAATCTTGTGATCATTCTGAAATTATTATTATGCAAAAACTAAATATTTTTTTATTACCAAATTGGACCAACACACAGCTTAGTGGGATTATCTAAGATCGTTATACAAATAGAAATAACAATTTTACATAATGTGACATGATTTATTTATACATTCATATGGAGGATTCTGTTATATTAGTAATGCTGTACAATTTTGGAACATATTTTAATTAACAACAACAAATAATTGCTTTTTCATAGAAAATTTTCTATAATGTTTTCAATTTTAAAGCTACTTTGTAATAAAAATTAACATTAAAATTTATGTTTATAATTTGAAATAAAAAATCAACAACTGAAATAGTTAATCTGCAAAACAGTCGACATAAATAAGCCGAAAAAGCAAACACTTTGTACTTCGGTAATGACAAATTCAAATTCTGCTTATACTTTTATTAATATTAGTAATTACTTAAAGTGATGATTTATCAAAACTTTATTTTACTGTAATAACTTCAATGAGGTCCAATCGCTTATCGTAAAGAGATTTAATATTTCTTTCTATTTCTTAGTAGGTACTTACTTTAGAAATTTGATTGAAATCCCCAACATACAGTTTTTTGGAGCTGAAACAGCAGGTAAATTTAATTATCTTCTATGAGATTTAGTATATATGTATAGCTTCCACGTTCCAAACCATAAAAACTTAAATTAATTCCCAGCAACTTACCTCTTTCCAGCAGGGTTGTTGAGTTTTTTTATAATATTCAGCAATCTATTTCTTGCTTTAACTTTTCTTTCCTGCGTGTTTTATATTATTTAATTATATAATAATCTTCTGATATTTACCTATATATGTTAAGTGGTACTATTAAACTCGAACCAGGTTTCAGAGAGTCTGAGAGATTCTAGGTATTTGAAACTGGCGATTATATTGTTGTTTTACAAAACATACTCTGTATTTTCAGCTTAATAATATATACCAGTACAGTTAGAACGGTATATTTATACTAAATTACGTTAATAGGTTTACAAAATACAAAACAAGCAAACTCAATTTTGTTTTGTAAAATAAAAAAAATATATATTGGTACAGCTGTGTCTGAATTGTGAAAGTAAGACAAAACGTGTATCTGTGTTCAAATTAATTAGTATGAAATAAATTATATTAAATAAGAATAAGAATAACTAACTTACTAAATCTAAAACTGTTGATGTCACCTTAAAACTGGAACAATTACTTGGTTTTTTATTTATAGTATCAAAGTATAAGCATGGTATTTAAGTTTACCTTGGCTTGTTATTTTTGTTTTCTGTGTTCGAAGGTATTACCTGCAAAGGTTATTTTATTACTAATTGTTAATCTGTCTTAGAAAACAATCAATATATGTAGAATAAGGAAAAGTCCTACCACAATGTAGTCTGCAGGGAATCTTCGAAATCCCGTATACAGGACTCTTTCATTTTTAGCGTCATATCTGATGAACGGAAAATACATATAAGTAAATTCACTTTATTTCAATGAAATTACCATATATTTTAAGTGAAATAAAAAAAGCAAAAGTGAACTGTTACTTATTGTATGTATTGAGCGATGAAATAATTTCGCATTTTTTTTTCTAAAACATAAATTAATTTTTAAATGGGATCCGCACTTTAATCCCAAATTTTCGATGCCACCGTAAACTCCAGCCCCATCTTCTAACTCTTTGTGAGGGAATTTCAGGGAAGACTTCAACATTCCTAATGTTGGTCTATTAAGCGTATGTCCTGGAAGAATTGCTTCGGCTTCAGGGAGATGACTAGGTCTATTTGGTACTCCTAGAATTTGCGATAACTCCCTAGGATCAAACTCGAATCTCCTCTAGAAAAAACAAAATTACCATTTCTATTTCGTAGTAAGAGGTAAAATGTTTATTTAGTTACTCATAATTTCACTTAATGTTATGGTAAGCATACCGATGGGACAACTTCATTCAACAATCCAAGACTTTCTAGTCGCGTTTTCTGTGAAATATTAAATATTGTTAAACAATTAAGGACCGGGACGCTGAGGATATTTAATTATCATATCAATATTAAACTGTCTTACAGCAATATGCTCAAGCTGCCGCCTCAAGCTGACGCCGTTACATTGAAGTATTATCTGGAGAGATTTTCAATTATGTTAGCAAAATATTTTGATTACATTTTTATTATTGGTCTGTTAACTTTAAATGATATCTATGTTTATTCAGTCTTATAAATTTAATACGTTTATAATATTGTTTTTAGTTTTCATAATGTAGAAAGCGATATATTACTGCTGATGTTTTATTGTATTAAGGACAAAGGGAAATCTATAGCCCTATAGCAACTAAGCAATGTTTATTTGTTGCTCTAAAGTAATTACTATCAAGATCGGTTTGGGTCTATTTGTAGGTTAAAGTAAAAAAAAAACATGTTGCAATAACAAAATATTCCCGTTTATAATGTATTATTTCAGAGTTACAAAAATATACACAAAGTTTCTTTTTAACAAACTTTGAGGTCCAAATACCATTTTTTAACATTATCTTAGAGAAATAATGCGTAAAAGTTATTTAAACTATTTTAATATGGTATAAGTTTATGTACATATAAAACTTAAAAATCATATTTTTCAATACGATAAATTTTACTTACGGTTATTAGCAGACCGATTGCTTCGATTATATGTGACATTTTTACAATTAGATTCTGCTCAGCTTACTTTTCATGCTAACGTAAAATGTTAAAAAGTTTTCTTATTACCTTCCAGTTCAGAGCGATTAAAAGTCAAAGGCCGTGTAATAGCATTTTGCTACTTGTATTGCTTCGGAATGCATTTTTATATTACTTTAAAATTTTCTTCTTTCACAAAAGTTATAGGTACTTCAAATTGTACCATAGTTACAATTAATTATGCCTGTGATGTTAATAATATATATTGAAGGGTTTTAAGCAGTATTTATTATTTTCTAGATTTTATTTCAAATATATTTTACAGCTATTCTTGTTTTGAAAATGTTTTATATTCCTTGCATTAGACATTTAAACGCGACAGGAAGTGACTCGCGGTTAATGGACACGTGAGAACGACATGACGCTTGACGTCGCTTCCGTGTCCACAACACTCACAAAATTTATAGTGTTCAATTGATTTTAAGATATTTCAATTAATTTTAAATCATTTTAGTAACAAACTACATTTAATTTAGCAAGTATTCTTGTCTTGTTTTCGTTTTCTTAAGTAAATTAATGCAAAGAAACGATGTTGAATATTTTACTTAATATATTGTCAATGAAGTTTAAAACGGTTCTAAATAGAAGTAAAATAAAACATTTTATAAATATTTAATATTTTTTTGTTAAAGTTTAAAACTAAAACAGGAAGTTCACTCCTATATGTTATACGGAAGTAAAAGACATGTTAGAAAACTGACATCTTGACAACCCCTGCAGCGATATATTGAGATTCTTCAAATAATTTTAAATGAAAATAATATTGTCTTTAAACTGCGACATGTTACCGTCCACTTAAATATTTATTCAATGGTAAGTAACGATTGATAGTAAAATTTTGAAAAGCTATATCAATATTTTGAAGTTCATACAAATATACTTGATATTGTATATAGGAAATTTTTGATTAAATATATAAAATAGTAATAATAAACTAAGACAATCTTTATAGAGGATAAACGTCGTATGAAGTAATAGTTATTGGATTTCTTTTTATTTTTTCCTGGCAACGCGAGCTGTAATCGATGTTCCTCCCATCATTTAATGTCACGTGCAACTCGGGACCATGACGGGAATTTTATCGATACTTAATAGCTAACATACATCTTGGAACGCTTTACTTGTAACTTTTTAGCGATTTATAAAAAAAAATGAGCACTTAATTCAATACGACTAATGGTTCTATTAATGGTATGAAATCAATTAGATTTGCATTGAAACAGAAAGACCTATACAATAAATTGATTTACCTATGATTTTTGTATATGAAATATGGAAGGTCTTAATGTAAGAATTAACAGAAATTATAGTTAATGATTCAAATATGCATATTAAATATGAGTACTTTATTATCTCTACAGAGTTAGCTTTTATATTTAATGCATTATATGCACATCTCTGGTTTCGAATTTTCTTTGTTTATTTCTTGAAAACTGAAAATTATAATAAGTAAACGCAGAAAAAAGTCTAGGTTGAGAAAAATAATTCTAAATATATATTTTAAGCATATATGTATATGGGCCTTTTAAAGACGATAAAGGATCGGTAAAGCATAACCCTTACTATGTTTAGTTATATGTAATTGTTCAGTATATCATTCGTTATTATGAATAATGTGAGTACAGTTTAACAGCGAAATAATTAACTAAAATTTAAAGATTAGAAGCGCTTCCATAGGGTAATTTTAATATAGGTTTGTATGGTATCTTATGAGAATAAGGCCAATAAATGATTTTGTTGAGCTCACGTATATTACATCTCTTAAACCGCAAATTAATGGAAATACTCATTTTACTCAGTTACTCAACTCGTTATAAGAAATACATAGGTATATTTTGTCAATGACAGGAAGACCTGATATTTGCCGACACATGCTGTGGCGAAGCGTGAAACAGTCCAAAATTAGGCTTGACTACATCAAAATCTCTTATATGTATGTATTGGAGAGTAACGAAAAAAAAAACACAGAATGCCATTAAGAACACTTGTATTATATTTGTATTATTTATATTCAAACATTCTTATCTTATTTGTTAGAAAAAGTTATTAGTTAAAAAGTTGCATTATATTGGCTTAACTTAATGGTTTGAAATCATCCTGTAACAATATTTTAAATTAATATACACAGACAGGCAGATACATACAATTATCAGTGCCAATTACTTCCGTGGTAATAGATTTCTTTGTAACAGACAATATTTTTAAATTATTATTAATACCACTTGTTTTAAAAACAGAGCTTATTAAATATTAATCTGACTAATCTTTGTCATAGGTTAACTTTTGTGTTTGAAAGATCTTCAACCTCGACAATTCTAAGATAACTTATTTTATAACCTTTATGTACTGAACTTTTTATGAGTTAAATATTACCTGATTGTAATACCACCATTTTCTTCCAAAGAAAAGCGCTGCTCCTGATGGACCCATACTACTAAATGGAGGTGCGTATGGATTCACATTCATGTGATTACCATCCATCTGTATAAGTTTCATCCCATATTAGTAATAAAATTCTTTTAATTTTAAAACATCAAGAAGTAAATATACTTAAGAGAGCAATATACAAGTTTTTGGGAGTACAGATTTGAATTACACTACGGTTATTATATATTACATTACATTTTACTCTACGTTTCAATTCTACAGAAACCGTGATCACTTAAGACGATATAATTCATTAATGTCAAAGCAACGTTTACTCACAAAGTGATTCCAAAGCCAGTTTTGTTTGTATTTATCTTTGTGAACTGTGTAGGGATTTCCAGGATTTCGCTCATAATCTGAAGATTTGGAATCGGAACCGGATGAACTGTCACTTTCAGATGAAACAAACCGACCTCGGTCTCTATATTTACTTTTTCTTGGCTTTCTTTGTCTTCTTGACTGTCAATTTATTTAATCGTTTTATTAAGTATCAAAAGTATTGTTTAAAAATCTGTTTTTATATAAACCTTTCATCGTTTTATTTTAAGTTTTAAGTAAGTTTTAACCTTAGACGGTTTCTCACTGACATATTAGATAAGTAAAACTTAGGTTAAACTTTCAGAAACCCTTAAAGTATCACTGCTGTTGAAATATCCACGTAATTATTAAGCTGTAATTCCCCTGTTAAAATTATTCAAAATATTCTTCATTTTACGATTTTCTACTCACGTAGATGTCAGTGCCAGACAATCAAATTACTGGAACTGTGAAATTTATGCTAAGCGTTTTTACTTTGCTAAAATAGATCATCGAGGACACAGGACATTGGGCGTCAGGAACCACAAAAATACTCATCTGATGAATGCCAAGCACGTATAAGACGTCACTGAAGACCACTGAAGACTGTCAATTAGTGTTCAATGATAACTTAACAAAATTTTGAATTAACCTAACATTGGTATTGGAACTATTTTTTGACTCAAATTATATAAAATTTATAAAAACAAAACTCTAACCCGATATATATTATTTCATTCGAAAATCTTGCGAGATCAGCTTATATAAAATTTGGGTATTTTGCGAGATCAAGTAAAATATATTTTACTCATTGATACATAAAAGATACTTTGAAAGGAAATATTTCGAAGTAGCTCAAATTTCGATTTTGTTCTCCGACTCAAAAAATATTCTGTTGAAGATTTTTTGTATTCATAAAGCTTTGTTATAAACTGAGAATAAAAATGAGATGGTTGGAGTAAACACAATTGTTAAAAATAATCTTAAATACACAGATATATAAGTACATAAATACACAGAAGAATACGGGATAATTGCTTTTGTATAAAATTATGTGCTACATGTGATGACCGGTGTTGGTTGTGATAATTATAATTTGACTTATGTCAGTGTATTTTCAGTTCATATTAGTTAGTAATACTTTCAATTCAATTCCACAATCACTTCAAATATTGTATCAAAGTAGAGGTAATTATTTAAAGAGCTATTTTCGTCCTCAGAATTCCATAGGATAACTTTTCCAATAAATTTATAGTTGCTCTGGTAAATATGTTATATTTTCCAAATTCTCAGAAAACATTTATATGTTCTTTGAAAAATGTATTTAATAGCTATAAGCACTATAACTAATCAAGTCCATGTGAAAACCTCATCTGTTGTGAATCACTAATACTTTTGGAATAAATTAGAAGCTATGAGTAAGTTTAAAATATTATTTTTCTTTATTAACAAGATATTTCTTGTTTAGTTGTTATACCTTAATTTATAATCAAAAATTATAAGATTTCGTTTAAAGAAGCCTGTATTTTCTAAGAAATGAACTTGATATAAGCCTTAAGGTAATGCTAATTAATATAAAGTGAAATAATTAAAGTTAATTAATTTATTACAGTGCTGAAGTTTGTAACAGTATCATCAGTACTGAGGATTCAATTGATTAAATTATTTAATCATATCAATTTTGACTTGTTATTAAAATACAGAGTTACTTAACATAAATTATGATAATAAAATTGTTAGTAGTTACATTTTTGTACCTTTTAGATATATATTATTAAAATTTCTTTAGCTAACTAAGATATCTCGAATTCAAACAATCAACCAAACAGAGGAAATGTTGTTAATAACGATTTAGTTGCGAAACTGTTGAATGTGGCGGCTCTTGGCAGGAGAATGGCAGCTAAGAGAGTGGTCTCTTCTAATGAACTTACAATAGTAACATAGCTATTTAAATAGCTTTCCTAACTAACGTCTTGATGTGAACTTTGAGAACGTAATTAAATATTGAAAACTAATGTTTTATTCTAAATAATTATCTTAATTTTTCTTTAGTTTTGAATACATATTAAGTATTTGTTTTGTTTAATAAAATATAATGTTTATATTTTTATAGACATTTTTATAGGGTTTGTCTTAATAGAAAAAAACTTCACTTACAAAACCCAACTTCAAAAAATGTTAAGTTTAAAATAAACCAATAAGTGTTTATTTAATACAACTCTTTTAATACACAAATATCAATGGAACCTTATTATTCACAACTGGTTATCAAGTTTGAAGTGCCAATCCCTAAACAAAACAAAACTTAATATTTCAAACAGCTTACTTACTGTTATGAAATTCCAACACTAAAGATTGTCCTTTAAGTTTATTTAAGTAGGTTAATCACTGTCTCGACTCAAAAACGTCTTGCCAAAGACGATAAAAATGGCCGTGTCTACAATTCTATAAACTAATGAAAACTACTTTAATAAGCTAAGAAAATTTTACTGTATTGAATGACAACTATTCTACTACAAAGTAAGGAAGTATGACTTAAGTCGGATTATAAATCTAATTGTAATCAGTATATCAAAAATAAATCTGGATGAGAACCTCTTGCCTCTTGAAAAAGGTTTAAACTGCTGTATTTGTGAGTATAGTACAATTTGATAATATCAATTCATATTTTTGTAGTCGACAAATGCTTTATAAATATTATTGCTTTAGTAAAAATAAAGAATATATTGTAATTAATTAGAGTTTTTCCCACCCAGATCACCATCAATTACTTACATTTACCGATGTGTCTTTAGAGGAATCGCTAGAAGTAAATAAAATGAATGTGAATGTCAATAATTGATTTAATATTTTTAAAGGAAATAGCTTCTTTTTTCTTGAATTAAACTATAATAAGTATTTTAAATATAGGTTCCATTATGAAATGTTAAAGGTAGATTAAAAAAATTAGAGCGTTTATTCGTGATAACTATCAAAAATTAAATTTTAAAAAAGTTTAAATCTTGTAGATGGTGAATACTTAGAATATTCAAACTTACTCATCTAATATTTCCATAGCATTATTGTGAGTGTTTCTCAACTGTAAAAAATATTTTATTTCATCGTCTTTTATATTTTTTGTTTGAAGTTTAATACTATTTTGTTATTTATATCTCAAAGTTAATAGGATTTGAAGGTTAAATTTGATTGTTGTTTTGTTGGGCTTAATTTTCTTTATATATTTTATTTTATATTTCGTAATATAAACATATATTTACCTCTTGCGAATCATATCCATATGTAATCCTATAAAAGAAGTTTTACTTGTGAATGGATAAAGTGTTATATCGTAATATATATTCCACACTTTCACAATTTTGGTGGTTATACAAATTTAATAAAAAAATAATAATACTTATTTAGTTTTATATTTGCTTCAGTATCGGTAATAAATACCTTTTCTGGATATCTTTCTTTTTGGGTTGTGGACTCAATTCAATGACAACCTGGTAATATTTTTAATAAGTATCTAATTTTGTATTCAAACAAAATTTATTTAACAATACGTACCCAAGGTTTCCTAAAGAAATGATAACAATATAAAGCTACAGATTATTACTTTTAGTTATCAATTTCATTTATAGAAAACAGCTTACCCTTTTTTAGACCGTGAATCATAATGAGGTAAGTCTTTCAACAATTTATACTGAAAGAAAAAAAAAATCAATTTCTATTCAATTTATGTTATTGAAACATAAAAAAAATTAAATACCAATAAATTATTCGTTTTTCTGAAACCCGTGTACAGCACTCGATAAGGGGTTTTACCATATCTATAAAAAAATAATAATAACAGGAATACATAATTTTTAAGTCAAACATGTATAACCAAATCTACAAGGTAGAACAATGTATAATGTATACATATATTCTTATTCTTTTTCCCGGTTTATTATAACATTGAACTTACGTTATTCCAAGGTTGGCTAGATTTCCATAAACTGCACCACCTACATCTTTATGGGGAAATTTAACAGAAGATTTTAACATCCCAAAAGATGGTTGAAGGAGCGTATGACCCGGATGAATTGGCTCTGCTTTAGGTAGATCTTCAACAGATTCTGGCACATCGAGAATACTTTCATCGCTGGATACTGTAGCCCGCCTCTTGAAGTAATTTGGTAATATTTTAAAAACACCACTAAAAGTAAGACAAGTAAATATGGGGTACAAGTTATTGCAAAATAATATTTATTTTATGTTTTACAATAATATTTATTTCACTTATTAAATATTTCAATTTATTTTTATTACTATCACCGTTATCGTTTATTCATGAGAATTAAGAAACTTTAAGAACTGTACTGAGTGTACAAGAACTGAAGTGTACAAGAAACTTTTTGCTATTATATGTATTAATCCCTACTTATAATTCAAAGAAGGGATAAGGACAAGGTCACTTAACATGTGATTTGCCATTCTTCTAGAACCTTCTGCATTTTAGAAATCGCAAATGATTATACGATGATGAAATGAAAATTCAGAATTATTTAATACTAAAATTTGAACGTTATTGTTTGTTTGATACTGGGTATTTAGCCTTATAGGCATAAAATAAACGATACAGGTAAAACGATGCAAATAAACGAACAGGCATAGGAAAACGAATAAAAGATTCGATGCCTTGATACAAGTTTGAGAAAATAACAGCCATATATCACTTTTACTTTCCAAATATTTTATAAACTTTTCCCGTCTTATTCTTATGAGTAATGTCTCTTTACTACAAACAAATTACGAGTGTAATAGTTAATAATTTAACTACATTTAGTAATAAGAAAATGTCTTTAAATATTATTTTTAAAAAATCTGTAGAATATTTTTAATTAAGTATATCAAAAGAATATATGACGTGAAATTCAAATAAACTCCTTTGATGTACATGCGTATCTTCGTTGTACTCACTTCAAATACAGAAATTCTCGTATTAGAGACAAAGTTAGTGACTCAATTAAGGAATTCGGTCATTCTACACGAATATTTACTTTACGGATTGTCCTTTATGTTCAGTTGTAACTTAATTTGTAAGTGCAGTAATTACTAAGGGAAATTTGAAATACTAATGTTAGTCAATTTAGATTACTGCTTAGTTTCACCTAAACTGTGCTTAGTTTCAATTGAAAATAAAACATAATTAGCCATACTTAAAATTGCTATATCTATTTGTAATTAAATGGGAATAAAATGTAGTATTTATTTTTATTTAAAATGTATTTTTATTTAAAAATTTAGTAATAAAAATAACGATTCAAAATGTATCCTATTGATTATTATTAAATAAAAATAAAAGTATTTGAAGTAAAAACTATTATAACAAATCAAATTGTATATATTTTACTTACTTTGATGAGTTCTATCAATCGTCTTATATTATTATTGTGTGATTGTTTCAGTGGCCATGAACACGCCACGTTCTAAAAGAATTAATGATTGTTTTAGAAAATTAACCAATGGTGTTATGGTATATCAGAAATACAGAATAATATTTCTTTTTGATTTTGTAAAATTCTTTCTAATTTCCTCGACATTAAGAATTTTAATCAATTAGTAAGTACTTTATGAAATACACTACTTACGAAAAGTAAAAAGACCATAAGGCCACATTTTTGTCGTGGAAGCATTTTAGCTGACTTTTTAATTTTGCTTTTATCTTTTCATTTGAATGCAAAACCGAATCAATGTATTTTAGATTTAATTTACACAAGCCCAAAGTTTCTTTCGATTTTATAGTATTTTTACTTATTATACGATCAAACTTCAGCTTCATAACAAATATCGAATGCAAAGCGTGAAATTTAGTAGACTTGGCTTAATCTAATTCCGTTTTTTTCATAAGCCATTAAGAGAATTTGAGATGATTGGCATTTTTTTCACATAATTTAATTAATTTGTTTGATTTGTAAAAAAAAGGAAGTTATAGAAAAAATATATATTTGCAAATGGTAGGTAAGACGTCGTTTGCTTTGATTAAATACTTAATAAGAATATTTGTTTTAAATAAAACACTTTTGTAATAATTTTGTAAATTTCAATATTAAAAATATATATCAATATTTTGCAATGGTTTATAACACGTAGGCAAATATTAAAAATTAAATATTGATTATAAAAATGACGTATTTCTTTGGTATTTTTAATTTTTTAAATAACGTAACCACTTGTGTTTAATCTATTGGAGGACGAACTTTAGTTGCAAAACTTCCCATGACATTTCCTGGTGGGTAGTAATAAGCTACCACGTATATTTGTCCTTCTTTTGTTTTTGCAACACCCACTCCAAGCTCTTTAGTATCTTCCCACACGATCTGAGAGAAATGTCCCGAACCTAAATTGTCCGGTTCTTTACCAAAGCTGTGGTTTTGTATTTCACTATACCATTTATCAACAGGGTCTTTACCGGATAATGTGAAGTTTGGATCTGTAGACCAAGCGTAGAAAATATTTTCACCATATTCATTTTGATCTCTATGTTCCACTCTTCCTATTTTGGCTATAGATTTCGCCCATTCTTCAGCATACTTGCACATTTTCTTATTGATTTCAAGTGGTGGCACTCTGTGTTTACTTCTATATTCATTATGAGCGTTTAAAAACTCTGACTCAAATTTGACGACATAATTTTTATCAACAATTGAAGTTGAGCGGAATATAGTAACTATATCATTAGCGAGGTCGCTTATATTTTTGCTGTTTCTCTTATTTGGCGATGGGGGTGGTAAATTATTATTTGATTCAATATTCGAATCCATTGAACTAAAACTTGAAGTCGACTTAAACTGCAATGCGCCCGGCGGTGGAACATTTTTAACGAACTGACCACTAAAATTTCCTGGTGGATAATAATTAGTTACAACATATAACTTTCCAGATTTACTCTTAGCACACCCAACACCGATTTCTCTGGTATTTTTCCATATGATTTGGGTGAAGTGACCACACGTAAGTACCTCTGGTTCTTTGCCAAAAGAATAATCATTAATTTCATTATACCATCTATCAACCCAATCCTTTGCTCGTATTTTTACACCTGGATCTGGGGACCAACCACAATAAACACTTTCTCCGTACGTATCATTTATACTGTATGCTAAAGTGTCATTTTTCGCTAATTCTTCAGCCCATTTTTGACTTATTTTACTAATATCTTTGCTTAAAACTAGAGGTGGAGTACCATGTTCCTTTCGGTATTCGTTGTGCGCCTCTAAAGTTTCAATTTCATAATCATTGGATTTGGATCGAAACAATTTACTCTGCAATTAAAGAAAAAATTTTAATCAATAAATATTGCATAAAATAACAGTTTTTATAATTATGTAATTGAAAAATAAGGAAAAATGTTTGTTTTATGAAAATGTTTGTACATTTTTGTTTAACTTTTTTCCATGCTATTTATTATTAAGCATAAATCTCATTTATTATTCTAACGTTTGTAAATTCGTAGGGGGGTATAATCAAAAAACTCTAATGTTTAAGCCAAATTGATTCAACTTAGACTGAAAGCGATAAAAAGCCAGTTGTATAAAAAAATTATGGGAGAGGAAAATGTGACTTGTTTGATAATTAATTAACAACTAATAATCACATTATAGAGTAAACATCACTTCAAAAGCTACTATATTCAGCCTTATATTAAGTTATTTAAACATCAAAGTTCGTGATCTCTATATCGGTGTTCGTTGTGGGTTGATGTGTACAAACAAACATCCTAACCGCCTTCCCACGCATTAAAAGTCTCCTAACCTATCGTATTAAGCTGGGGACAAATAATATTTGGTAATAAAATAACTAAAAATATATATGAAACCGTAAACTTTGCTGCCTTTTTTTTAATGGATTGTGCTGCCTTTGCTGCCTTTTTTTAATGGACACTATATTTTAAACATGAAAATAATTAAAAAAGCCAAAAACTATTGAACTCAATTTTTTTTATAATATACCTACAGGATAAAATATTTTTCTTTTCTGTAAGTTTATTAAAACGTTTTATTGTAAATTAAAAAGTAAAAACTTTGTTGGTATATAAACATAATTGGATAAAAAGTTATAAGTAGTTATGTTTATAGTAAAGTTAAATATTAATTTTTACTTATTTGTATTTATACAAATAAGTAAAAATTAATATACATATATAGATTAACCACCGAGGATGCCAAAGACCGTGCAAAGTGGAGGCGTTTATGTTGGAAGGCAGACCCTGGCTAAAGCTGGGAAATTGCCAGGGAGAAGAAGAAGAAGATGTATTTATACCGATTGTCACTAGCATCATTGATTTCTTTTACATTTAGACATTTTTTCAGCACCACGAGTTATAGTTACAATTATAATCTAATCCACGTCCTTTAACCTTGAGATGTATAACATTGTAAATAGCGCAATTATTTTTAATATAATAATTATGTTTTATTAATATTATCAATATTTTTATCACTTCTATGTTATTTAGTATTTTTTAATAATCTTTGTAAGTTTTTGATTGTGGACTACAAAGAGATTATATAAGGTCATCGGTATGTAATAGTGTTTGAGTATTATTTTAAGAGCTTCAGGAGTTTTTACCTTCCTAATTTGATATTTCTATATATCATCACTTCAACACCAATGAAATTCATAGTTCGTGTTTGTATATTTAAAAAAAATGAGGATTACATGCCATAAAATCCCGTCCTTGACATATAAATTTAGAGTTGAAACTCATCTCGGCTCCAGCAATATTAATTAAGGATCAAGTGGAACGGTTGGACTAATCTACTATATTAGGAAACTGGGTCTATTATTACGAGGATCCTCAGAAATTATTACATGAAATATGTAGGGAAAAATATTATATATGTAAAATTAAAAAACTTATTACGCTTTTTATAAAACGAAATAAATAAGACATCCTCGATTCTCCGGGACGGAAACATATTTAGGTCTTGATGAAAAACTTTAATCAAGTGTTATTATTCATTGGTCTCAACATGGCTTACAAAATATATTATATAGAACAAAATATAAGGAATCGGAAGGGTCAGTTCAAGATGGGTCCATTTTATCGCAGATTTTAGTGAATCTACGAATTCTGAATTCGCAATTCATCCTTCCTGCCGAAGAATTCTTTATTATATCAAATTATTGTCCGCACTATATTAAAACATTAATATATTTCCAAGATATTTCACGTAAACGTTGGCATCATCCTTTTGATTTTAGTAATAACGTCGAAGTTTAAAAAGATGAATTTATTGGAGTGTAATTTTTTTTATCTGTAACATTATGCTAAAGATATATAATGATTTCTTACGGAAATATGGAATATATGTATTTATCCATGCATGATTAAAAGTAACCGTCATAACTAAATTATGATAATAGTAATGATTCTTACAATATAATCTTCCAAGAAGTAAACGTTATCAAATGCTATCATTGATATCTATATGATTTCAAAAAAGAAATATGTCATAAATTACGTGAGCCACTAAATTGTGTGTTAAAACATAAGATGCATGAAGACTGTCTCAGCTTTTGTGCAGCTAAAATTAATCAAACTTATGAAGGGACACAAAAAATGTTCTTAAAAATATGTTTTAATTTTCGTTGGTAAAACATAAGTGTTTATAATATTTTAGCAGTACTATTTTCATCAGTATGTTTTTTTATATAATACGATATGAAAAAATTACCTTATTGCAACAATGCGAAATTCTAATACAGAATAGTTTGGTATGCATGAAAACATTAGGCATGGTTGCAATCAGGCTGATACTATTGAACATTTAATGTGTTTCATTGAAAAATTATTTATAAAATTTACAAAACGAAATATGTACATAAATTATCAGACAAACCTTTAAATATCATTTCAAAGTAAACTATATTTGTAATTGAAATATTAATAACTAATAAGTATTGAAACAAAAATATTTTATAGTTACCATTTCGCTGCAATGATATCCAATAAAAAACGCAATGAACTGGCCACGTCCTGTTTTCTCTCACTTAGATCCCAATGTGCCCTACTTATCCTTATATCTGAATACAAATGCTGCCATAATGTTATTTAGCAGTGTTATCACGAAATCTATTTGTTTCACTTTTAGTCATACGTCAGAAAGAGAGAATACATACGATAAAACGATTCGCCCTATCAGAGATTACAAATGAAGTTACTTTGTCGCGAGAGTTTTTTTTTGTTAGCTTTGATTTCTTTTTTATTTTATATTCTTGTTGTTCAGTTATATTTATGTGAAGGATTCTTTTTAAGAATTAATAAATATGTATGATTCAAGTTTTGTTTACAACTGACTTTATAAAACAATGGAGTGTTTGTGCCGTTCTTCCGAAATGATGCATCGCTTCACACAAAGGTCACGCAAAAACGCTGTCACGGAAATTGATACAGCACGTAGATTTAGAGTTTGTTCATATAATTTCAATGTAAATTTTTACGAAGTCAAAAAATATAAAATTACTTTTTAAACCATTAACATACTTACAAGAGAGAAAACTAAAACTCAACACTATAAGAAAAAAGAATATCGGAGAAATTGTGATTACATTATACATATTATTACATTTTCTTTAAAAAAAAGTTAACTTATTCTTCTTTATAATTAAACATAACACAAATATCGTACAAGACTATACCCAAATTATGTGAAACATTATGAACAAGTATATATTTATTCATAATTTTCTTTATTATAGCGTTAGAATTCTATTGCTTTGTACTGTGTGATTAGGTACTGTGTGATTTAAGCATAATTATATCAAGCTAATATAAACAAAAATAAAGCAAGTCATACAATCGAAATTAATAAAATCATAAAAACTAATTATAGTGGGAATTTAGCCTCACCCAAAATAACTCATTTTACCTTTGAGAACAAACCAAAAGTTAGAGTCAAGTTAAGCAGTTTGTCACTAGTACATACGTATTTTGTATATATTATATTTTGTGATAAAACATATATTTTTAGGGTAAAAATTTGATTCCTTAAGATTAAGAAGTTCAATGCACAATATATATATAAATATATTATTTACAGTACAACATATTATTTAAACAAACATACGCATATAAATGTACATTTATTATTTGGTCTCTTTGAAAAATTTAGTCTTAAGCGTTTCTGTATTCAATTATACGATAAGTTCTTATCGTAAATCGATAAGTGCATTAGTTAAAATGTTCCACACACCTCATTCATGGAACAAATTATAATAGGTATTTCAAGATTGTATAACTATACAAAATCTTTTGTATTTTTAGGTGACTCATTTTATTATACACAAAACTCATTATGATAGCAATTTAAAACAAAATACACGTTTTTATATGAGTGAGTCAAGTATAATTATAAACTAAATAGTGGTATTTTTTATAATTATAAAATAAAATTTTTATGCGTATAGTTGAACAGGTATATATCTTAGTTTAAACGTTAGAGAAAATTGGTGTTAAAGTAGGATCCTTGAAGTCATTTCATTTTATACTTGTTACATACATCTATATCAGTCTTAGTTACAGTTGTAAAAACTCTGAGTAATAAGAATTATTAAAACTACGATTTAACTGAAAAGAGTGCTTTAAAGCCAGATGTCTATTCATATAAAAAACTTAATAAATTGAAAAATAATATATCTTTATAAATTTCAATTCCTGCCTCCAATATCTTACAAGTTGTATTCTGTAGTAAATAAAACATAATATTGTTCTATTACGAATATTTGCAATGATGAGAAATATATTTCTATATAATTTCCAATTGTCTGTCTGCCTCGGTTTACTGTTTCGATCCATTGCGCGATTCTTGTATAAAATGAGTACAAACAAGTTTATCTTCAGTTTTAAATTGAAGTGATTTTATTTAATGGAGAATATTGAGAAAGCAGTGTTCTCTTTTTGTATATTTTTCGATTTTGATTACTGTTTTAGAGTTCCTTTTAATGTTATAATTTTTTTTTCAAGTATTTAGTATCACTGAATAAGGATTAATATTAAAATAGTTTTGAACACTAAAAGTCAGATAAGTGTAATCGTTATCACTAGCTTCAGAAAATCACTGTTTTGCGTCTTTCGTGGCTTTCTACGTTGTACACTATGTAGGTATATACTGAAACTAAAATATGAATCTGTAAAGCTAGACAGTTTTAATGACAGTCATAATCAACTCTCAATTAGAACTTGTTTTCAAAAAAATACCGTAAGTAGTACACACACATGCATACATGTGTAATACACAGATAAATGCGGTTCCAAAAAATATAAACA